GGGGTCGGAGGTCCTCTGCTGAGGGCCATCCGATCCCTGTATGACCAGAGCCAGAGCTGTGTTCGCATTGCCGGCAGTAAGTCAGACCTGTTCCCGGTGAATGTTGGCCTCCGACAGGGCTGCCCTTTGTCACCGGTTCTGTTCACTGTATTTATGGACAGAATATCTAGGTGCAGCCAGGGGTCGGAGGGGGTCCGGTTCGGAGACCACAGGATTTCATCTCTGCTGTTTGCGGACGATGTTGTCCTGTTGGCTCCAACGAACCAGGACCTGCAGCATGCACTGGGACGGTTTGCAGCCGAGTGTGAAGCGGCTGGGATGAGAATCAGCACCTCCAAATCCGAGGCCATGGTGCTCGACCGGAAAAAGGTGCCTTGCCCTCTGCAGGTGGGTGGAGAGGTCCTTCCTCAAGTGGAGGAGTTCAAGTGTCTCGGGGTCTTGTTCACGAGTGAGGGAAGAATGGAGCGTGAGATTGACAGGCGGATCGGTGCAGCGTGCGCAGTTATGCGGTCGCTGTATCGGACCGTTGTGGTGAAGAGGGAGCTGAGCCGAAAGGCAAAGCTCTCGATTTACCGGTCAATCTTCGTTCCCTGCCTCACCTATGGTCATGAGCTTTGGGTAATGACCGAAAGAACGAGATCGCGGATACAAGCGGTCGAAATGAGCTTCCTCCGCAGAGTGGCTGGGCGCTCCCTTAGAGATAGGGTGAGGAGCTCAGTCACACGGGAGGAGCTCGGAGTAGAACCGCTGCTTCTCCACATCGAGAGGAACCAGTTGAGGTGGCTCGGGCATCTGTTCCGGATGCCTCCTGGACGCCTCCCTGGGGAGGTGTTCCGGGCACGTCCCACCGGGAGGAGGCCCCGCGGAAGACCCAGGACACGCTGGAGGGACTATGTCTCTCAGCTGGCCTGGGAACGCCTTGGGGTCCCCCCGGACGAGCTGGAGGAAGTGTGTGTGGATAGGGAAGTCTGGGCGTCTCTGCTTAGACTGCTGCCCCCGCGACCCGGCAACGGATAAAGCGGAAGAAAATGGATGGATGGATGGAAATAAACCTTGCCTTGCCTTGCCTGCCAATATCATACTGACCACTACATATGTGTGTGGGGGTGGGTATAAGAGTGAATAAATGAATACAGAAAACGAGTCTAGAAATGTAAAAGCTGCTCTTTCAGAATTTCAAAAAGAAGGTATAACAAATAGTTTAAGGGTGGGGGTCAGTGAAGCGCCTGGTGAGAGGGTCTATATACAGCAGCACTGGTGATGGGCAAAAAACTGCAGTCATGAGATCTGAAGAACAGAGGGGTCAGCAACAACAACAATTTAGATCAACAATATCCTGACGCATCAAAACATAAATAGATAGAATTTTGAAGATGCAAAGGGGATGCAAAGATTCAATTACTACGTAGTCATGTCTTTGAGTGTCCAAAAAAAGCACTTTTTATTATTATTATCCTTATTATATCTAGCTTACTATTGCAACTATAATTCATCATATTTTGATCCACAACACAAGTCTTAAGTATAGTCTTCTGCCCTTGTGTTTCTAGATGTTTATCATAACAACGTAGTAGTGGTCATTTACTTCAGACGTATGTACAAAAGACAAAAAAAAACAATATATAGGATACAAAAAATATAAACCAAAATACAGTTTGAGAAGAGGTTGGACAGAGCAGACGCTTATTCAGCCCCAAACACTCCCTGACCCTACACCTCTCTCTCATCACTTGCTTTGTGCTGAGAGCATCACTCCCTTTCATCCACTTCTTTAGTACTTCAGACAATAGCAATCACAATCCACAATAATGACCTGGCCTGCCAACCAATGCAGTAAACAACACACACAGCACAAACTCATTCTTAAAATAAAATGTTAAAGCGAACACACAAATCATACAAAAATAACATTCACAACAGCAGTAGTAAGGAAAAAACAAAACAATGTCAGTGTGACCAGTCTGGACTCGTTTTCATCTCTAACATATTTAGTTACATGTTGATCAAAGCAACAAAGCATTTCCATTTAGTTGAATTTGGTAGAGTTGGAAAGCTTCCTCAAACACGAATAGTGCAGGGTTTGAATTGAGACTGCTGTTTATGCTGCATCTGCGGCTGATAAAGGGTCACTTTGTTTGGATACACAACACAATAACTGTACGGGACTAATGGACAGATTAAATACAACCAAGTGTCTGGGCCCGAGCAATAGCCACACAGAGACAATAAACACGCTGTTATCAAAGATTAGGGGCAGTGATTTAACCTTTGCTGTAATGAACCTACTGTGTTTCCCGACGGGTGGAGATTTATAATGTATGTGGTATTTGAATATCAGTGTTTTTATTTTTTTTTAATATTTTTTTATTATATTTTAATAGGGTATTTTGTATCCTTAACACGTAAATATAACTAAACAATAATAATAGTGATAAAATAATATGGTAGCAATATAGTATGTCAAGCTGCCCATAGCACAATAAGTAATATTCATCACAGGATTAGCATATATAATTTGTTTAGATTACTATTACTATTTTAGAAATCGATTCATGATTACCCACTCCATCAACAAGACTGTGGCGAGATTATGCGAGTTTAAGGCCTAAGCAAAACAACAATAATTCCATGGAAAAAAATGGTCTACAGCAACTAACCGATAAAATTGAAAGAACATCACATTGAAGCTACATTCCTTGTTATAAAAATGGTATTTTCAGCTTTACACTAAAAACAATGGCATGTTAGTCCCTCATAGCATTCAGCAAAACTCCCCATCCTTTCAGAATGATGAGAAGTCAGAACAAGAATTGCCAAAATAAAGATGTTTTCAACAGGAAGTCCAAATGTTCGGGGACAAAATATGTGACAGGAGCCTGAAGCCTAAACACTGCAGAAGTTTTCCCAAAGAGCCATGCAAAAGAACCATTATTAGAATTCAAAATAGTTTTCCCCTATTTACACCCAAAAAAAATATCACGTGACAGCAAAATGTACCCTCATCCGGGGCAGTTTATGTGACGGTCTTATTGTCCAAGACGTATCAGGCAGGTGTCACAACAAATCACAAAATGTAGACTTTTATAAAAATAAAATCAAATTGTGAAAAATAACGGTTAAATCGCGTGTAATGTAGGAGAAAGATGACAAATAAACGGATAATTGCCATCGTTGAACAGGTTTAAGTGAGCGATAGCGAGGCAATTCTCCATGTATACACGTTAGTCGCGATAGTTAACTTAAAAACAAAACGCATAAAAAGCTACCTTTTAAGCTACTTGACATTCATAACAACAATAATTCCATGGAAAAAAATGGTCTACAGCAACTATCAAAATGGTATTTGCAGCCTTACACTAAAAACAATGGCATGTTAGTCACTCATAACCGTTATTATTATAGATCCATGCTCATAACATCCAGCAAAACTCCCCATCCTTTCAGAATGATGAAAATTAGAACAAGAATTGCCAAAGTAAAGATGTTTTCAACAAGAAGTCCAAATGTTCGGGGACAAAATATGTGACAGGAGCCTGAAGCCTAAAAACTGCAGACGTTTTCCCAAAGGTCCATGCAAAAGAACCATTTTATCCATCCATTTTCTTCCCCTTAAAGACCTTATGCCGGGTTTTTTTTATTTTTTATTGTGGATATCAAAATTGCATGACAATGTAGATCTGAAAGAGATTCCGGCAAAAAAAATCCTATATTTTATAAAAAGAACGTGTTTTTCATGAATTTAAGTTGTCTATGCTCTAACCTGTGTGTGACGTCACAGCGGGTAACGCCCATGCATTGAAAACCATGGATCTATGCCACAGGACTGCCTTTTCTCTCTTCTCTCCACTGATGCCCAACACAATACTGGACTCTACAGGTGACAATTGCTCACTACACATAAATTGCCGTTTTGAGAGTGAAAATGTACCCGCTGTACACGACCTTGTCATCTTGAATATCCGCGAAAAAAGAACGAATACCAAATTGTAAACAACTTACAGCGTTGAAACGTACCCACTCTGACGTCACCAAGGGCTGTGAAGTTTTTTCGTCTCCAAGGGCGTTGCTATGGGGTTATTTCGATTTGGGGGGATCAGACAAAAAAAACAACAACTGATTTTGAAACCTTTAGTAGTTCTCTAACCCGGCATAAGGTCTTTAATCCATTTCTGGATCGGGGGGGGGGGGGGGGGGGGGGGGGGGGGGGGGGGAGGGGCTGGTACACATAGCACCAGCCCCTCACGAACCATTTTATTAGAATTCAAAATAGTTTTCCCCTATTTACACCCAAAAAGAATCACGTGACAGCAAAATGTATCCTCATCCGGGGCAGTTTATGTGATGATCTTATTGTCCAAGACATACTGTATCAGGCAGGTGTCACAACAAATCACAGCACGTACACTTTTGTAAGTAAGTAAGTAAGTTATTTATATACTGCCTTTCACAGACAGAGTCACAAAGCGGTTTACAATTGTTATTTTTTGGGCATTTGTCTATCACTCCACACAGAGATGGGAGCGGGTCGCCAGTACAGGAGGCGCATGCCAGAACTATTGTACATGTTTTAAACCGGAGGAAACCTACGCATACACGGGGAGAACATGCAAACTCCACTCAGAAAGGCCCTGGTCCGTTGTTTATCACACAAATTGGGAAAAATAACGTTTAAATCGCGGGTAATTTAGGAGAAAAATGACAAATTACCGGATAATAGCCATGGTTGAACTGGTTCAAGTGAGCGAGAGCGAGGTAACGGCTAATTCTCCATGTCTATGCAATTCTCCATGTATACACGTTAGTCGCGCGCATAAAAATCTGCCGTTGACATTCACGTGCACCCCGGGATTGGCTCAAAACCAATCCCTTTTGTTCCAGAGCATCACTGTGTCCTGTTGTCATCCCATAATCTCGACATTAGGCTGACATATCCTTCGTGATGCCTACAAAAGACAGAAAAAAACGATGTCACATACACATACACATATATACACGCTCACCATAATAGGACGCGGGGGAGTCGGTGTCTTTAGCCATGGTGCGTGAATAGAGAACCGCAGCTCCGTCGTCTGCGTTTTAGGGAAAGCATATGCGAAGGCGAGCAATACTGGGGAGGAATCAGCAGGGAAACGAGATGTTATTCTCCGTGCGTCTGTCTCTGTGTGAGGATGCTGCTCTGGGCCACGCACGCAGCCGAGCCTCAAGCCGTGTTTACAGCGCGACGTCATTAATTATTCAGAAATGCTCTTAAAGGCGCCGCTGTGATGTGGCCTCGTTCTCTCTTTGTTCGCGGTTTTAGCTGCTATTCGGTTCTTTTGACCGAGTGTCACGTGATTAATCTCGTTTGGAAGTGCATGATTGATAGTGAAATGTCTAACCGAGCTGTTTATCTGGTGAGAAATTGTTCTTGTTTTTTGTAAGTAGGTTATTAATACAAACCCAAATCTTGATCTCGATGTTTGCGCAACATCGCCCCCTTGCGGGTTTATTTGGTGTTGCAGTCTAGTTCATTGGTTGATATCATTTCTGGTCAAATTAAATGGGACATTATGTAAGAAAAGAGAAAAGAGCAAGTAACAGCAAAGCACTGGGTTGATTATGGAAATAGAAAGTTATTCTTACATATACTTCCAATTGCCTGTCATTGACTAAATGTATTAAAACTTGGAAAATGTTAACAAAGTTGTGTGGAATGGGTTGACAATATCCGGTATGTGCCATCGGCCCCTCCGAACACCACCAACCATTCACACACACACCAGACTCATTCTAGGCAATGTGAGTGAAATGTCTTGCTTAAGGACACAATGAATTTATAGTCACTGAGGCACCTGGTGTTCCCAGAGGTCTCCCATCACAATAGTATCCAGGTTTAGCCCTGCACAGTTTGAGAGGTCTGACAGGATCTGGCTTTTGCATGCAAATGTGGCAAATAAAGTTCAATATTAACTTTCTTGTAAATAAATAATTATGTTTCCATGAGCTCTCCGCCAGGTTTGTGGAGATCTTACCTGCCCAATGAAATGAAGGATCCATGAATCACATGACACATGTTTCTCATCAGGACTCATGAATAAACAGGAGTTGACATCAGATGAAGTCATCAGTTTTGAGTCATCCATAGAGATCTCTCTCATCTCTCTTGAGTCATCAGTTCGCACTGCATTTACACTCTAAAAGCCTCACTTCTGAAGGCTGCTAGGCTGCTTTTTCAGACTGCACCAACATTTATAAAGATGAGAAAAAAATATATATTTATAAGCTTTAAATTAGAGATTTTATTTTTTGAAGCGTTGGGTTGTGCTTTGCTTAATATTACCTTATCTTGAGCTGTGTGCTTCTCATTTCTACTGTTCTGTAACACTAATATTTCTCCAGTGTGAGACAATAAAGGATCACCACTTAATCCTATTTTTAGATATCATTATATTTAAGTAAATGCAACTGACATAAATGCAACAACAATCTGCAATCCCTCCATTGCTTTAGATGAGTGATTGACACCCAGCCACATAACTCTTCAATTAGAGGACAATCTAATGAGCATCACAATCACAACAGCCTGCTTCACTGAGACAGGTGCAGGAAAAATGATAATTTCCCATTCGCAGCACTTGGCCATGCATCATCAGGCAACAGCCTGGTGCTCCATTGAAGAATACCCTCAAGTTAATTAACAAAGCTTTTGTTCCAAGGCTGGGGCCATGCTGGTGTGCTCCTGCTGAGCTGTACTTTCAGACAATAAGGACTTTTCTTAATCTACGTTCCGACTGCTTTCAAGATAAGATAAGATAAGATAAGATAAGATTTTCCTTTATTCGTCTCACAGTGGAGAAATTTCAGTGTCATTGTTGTGCACAGAGAAAGAAGTAAGTAAGAGCACTCAATTTGCACTCAATCAAACAGAGTCTATTATTTAAGGTAATAGATGATATCATAAAAATCAGATAATAAGATGATAAAATAGAATAATATAAATAAAATACACTCTGGAGCTATAATCACACTTGGTTCAGGAGTATTTACAGATGTGTGTATATTTCAGAGAATTTGAGCAGAATAAATCAACAGGTAAAGTGACCAGTGAATGACAGAAATGGATAATGAAATAATAAGAAAACAGAAAATGGATAATGTAGTAATAATAGCAGGTAAAGTGAGTAGTGACTAAGTTACTGGTGAATTCTTATCAGTGACACTTGTACAGACTCAGCAGTTATTGTTATACATTCTCGTTGTACAGCCTGACAGCAGCAGGGAGCAGCAGGGCGAAACCTCTCCTACCTACACAGGAGTGCATCTTCTGTCACTGAAGCTGCTCTCCAGAGCAGACAGAGTGTCCTGCAGGGGGCGACAGTCATGGTCCAGCATATGTCAGTTTGTCCAGGACCCTCCTGTCCCCCACCTGCTGCACTGTGTCCAGGGAACAGCCCAGGACTCAGCTGGACTTCCTGATGACCTTGTCCAGCTTCTTCCTGTCCCTCTCTGTGATGCTGCTGCCCCAGCAGACCACACTGTTCAAGGCTCACTTCTTGGGTAAACAACAACCAAAAGGTAGCAGGACAGTAACTGTGCATGTATTACAAATACATCTATTTATAAATCTATAGTGAGGTACGCATATGATACTAGGTGATGGTACACATAGGATACTACGTGATCTGCTACCAGTTTCAGTAACTGGTTGAACTGCTTAATTAAAAATGTTGATGTTTTATTTATTTGATATACAAGCTAAAAATGTGTCATCTTTTAATCAACATTAGTTAATCAAGTTGTGGTATGCATTGGTTGCTAGGCAGCAGAAGGTACTCAGATGTAAATGTTAGTCACAGTTACGTTCAATGAAGTTACAACCGTGTCCACTTGTGTCTCAAATCTACACCTACGAAAGTTTTAGAAATGTTTGTGATTTTAACTCTGTTTAAGAGACAGCTGCTGTAACTGGTTTAGCAGCAATTGTATTAACTAGAATATTTATTTTTATAGAGCAAAGCTAGTGTAGCATTGTTTAATATTTTTACATACCATAATAGTTGCACCCCATAATTATATTTCATAATAACTGTTTTATTGTAAATCATTTTGAATAGTGTGTTTTGAAATGCAATGCTTGGTTCCGCCAGCAGAGGGCGCTTGGTGAGTCTGAAACAGAATTGAGAGTTTATTTCAAATAAAACACGGGTCCTTTGTCAAGTTGAGATAGGTGGACTTGCATGACTAAAGTGATAAGGCAGAGCGTATTCTCCACCCAATGTGACCTTGTACTTGTAATAACATGATTGTAAGCTGGGGAATATTAGAACAGTATCTATAATTAATAATATTGAGAGGAATGTGTTTTGTGTGTGTGTGTGTGTTTTGATCATATTGTAGATATACATTTCAGTACAGTATTTATGTGTGTAAAAATAATCAAATGTATGGCTAGAAGTACAGTTACTTACCGTGAAGACACAGCACCGAGAGAGCTCCTGTACTGAAGGTCTATTTTACGTGTTTTGCAGAGCCTGAATTAAATTTAAATGTGCTGCACATTAATGAGTTGGCCCATCATTCAAAAAGTGTAACACTAATGTACTTTATTTCTGTTTATACCCGTAGTTTCAGTCGAGCTTTTCACGCCACAAAATGTAAAGGATTGAAACCTGTCTACAAGAAGTGTATTAAAGGAGCAAGACGCTCAGTTTCCTGGCTCGTGAAGACCGAGTTTGGCTTACTGTTAATATGTTGACATACACCAACACGTAGTGACAACAGTACACTATGGTTATTAGAAAATTACAAGGGTAATAAAATGTCGCTTTGAATATGTAATTGTTACACAAAACTAATTAACATTGAAACTGTTGAGTCGTCTGGACTATTTTTGTTTTAATATAATCTAAATCCTATACATGCCTGCATGTTTTATCAAACAAAACCCAGTGTATGGTTTGTTACTTCTCACATAAGCAGGTATGCGTCATGAGTATAAATGAACAGGTGTGCCCCGTTTTTTGAATGTAAATGTAAACACACTCTTTTAATTGCTTGATTTCTTGACAATGTGGACATCAGGATAGATACCACGTCCTATATTTGGTTAGATATTTCAACATAGCAGTCTGATGTATGATATGCACTTACAAATATGAAAATCTATATTTTACCCCTGGATTGGGTTAAATACCACTAAATGTAATCTAATAACAGTAACTATGTATTGGTTACTGAGTTGCACCCAATCCTGTCCATTTGCCAGTGTGCTGAGCTTGTGCTAAGCCTTGGCCGGGTTGTTTAGGACCATGCGGACCTCTGTGTGGAGTGCATGTGGAGAGTGCGCTCGTAAAGGCAGCGCATCACAGAGCCGATCCGGGGAACAAGACGCGCTCTTCGGCTCTACTCGCCCCTGTGATGCAGCCGCTCTGCAGCCCCATGGCCACATCCAGGCTTGTGCCATGAATCCAGCATCTGCATTTGAAAACGAAGAGGAAGCGAGATGCGGATCAAAGTGGTAAAGCAGCCTAATAATGTCGATGGAACAACCTAATTTGTGGAGTGCGTTATAGGGCTGGAAGGTTCTTGTTTTGTGACCTCATTGTTATATTTGTGATGTTTATCTATCGGGCTAATCTGGTGAAAATCAGAATGTCGTTTATATTCATTAAAATATAACAGCTGGCATTTCCGAGGAGGAAGCGTTGCTGTGATTATGGGTCTTCTGTTAAATAAATAGAATAGACTAAATAGATTTTTTCTCATTTCTAACCTTATACATATGCATTCCTCTCCTCTCTGTTGAAAAAATCTATTATGCTGTCTAATTTGTCCAGGGAGTGAGTGGCATCCTCGTCGTTACCATGGTGACCAGTTTGATGTTGGTCTACAAAGGCATAATCTACAGTGACAGAGCCATGCCACCTTCATCAGTGTCCTCATCCACCCACAGTTCAGCCCCAGGTGTGAAAAAGCAGCAGAACGTAACAGAGAAGCCCACAGTGCTGCAGGGATATACAGCCATTGTGGATCGAAAGGTAAAATGTGGCTTTTCGGTCCTGCATGTTCTCCTGGTTGCTTTTATTTGCCTACTGGGGGAAGCATGCAAGATATTAGGATGCAATGTCAAACGCCAAATATTTGTTGTCATGCAGCCAAACTTGTACATTACCGCTATGTATTAGGTGGTTGGAACGAATTGCGCATGTTCTTTAGAAACAGACTTGGCCGTAGACATTTTCATTCAAGCGCTATTGTTTATTTCTTATCTTGTGGCCACAGGGCTGGGCCACATTCATAATAGATGAAAACAGGAAACGTGTCAGTATAATGGATGTTGCATAACTAACTTGGATCAATTTTACTCTAAGTTCACTTTGTTTTTATTTCCAATGGTTATAATGTTGATAATATTGATAATGGGGTACAATTTAAATATTTGGAATCACCCCTGCAATAAATAGCCTCATTCCCACAGCGCCAAAACACGTGACATTTGAAAAAGAAAACTGGGATGTCCTTTCCTCAAACACGTGTGTACTGAAAGCTGTGAAGGGTCTATGTGTGTCATGAAAAGTGCTGTTTGTCCATTGTGCTCGTCTGTGTTTCAATGATAATCAGATCAACACTAACGAAGAAAACAAGTTTACCGGCATTATTATAATACTGTACATTTACGGGAACGACCAGTTTTGTGTATAGTGACCCCTGCTGCTCTGGTGGGAAGGCCTGCTGGTTCCAGGGCTTTCTCTCTGTAGACACATGCAGATGGAGTGATAAAACAGTTTAAACAACAATAAAACCAAACTGTATTTTAGCCCATTGCCAGATGAAGAAGGTCCCTCGAGGAACAAAACTCCTTAATAAAGTTGTAAAACATATATTTGAAACTGCTTATATAGCTCCACATGGATAATAAGCTTGCTATAGTTCATCATAATGCAATTTCCCGGTGTCCTGGGACCACTGCATTGAGACTTTAGATTACTTATTGTGAAGGTCCAAAGTTTCTCTCATTTTGACATGTCTCTGTCTTCCCCCTCACAAGATCAAACAACACCTCCACCTTCCCCACTATTGTCCCGGGTCAACACATCATTTTAACATGTATCAAAATACACGGTTCTTGCTTGAAGCTTTCAATAAATAGAGGAACCAAAAACTGTATTTGGTCCATTCATTCATAACATGCAGGTAAAGTCTGACAAAGAGTCTACCCTGGATTCCCACAACACTTTCTTTATTGATATTGAATGCTGCTGCTATTCAATCTTTAGAGTCAGTGTAACCAAATAAGGTGTCAGCACTACTTTCTCTATGTTAAAAAAAATCCTTCCACTACATCTACTCTTTGCTATTCACTTTTTCCCTGGTGTGATATCCCGTCACTTTAAGCAGCATTTCTGAGCGCTCCTTCGGTTGGATTGATCATCTCGACAGCTGGGAGAGCAGATATGCACTGACGCACAGCTGAGTGCAGACGGTGCTGTTTATAGACAGTGATCAGTGGATTGGGGGGAAACAGTTCTAGCTTTCTCATGAAAATATGCCTCATTTTGCCTGAAGAACCTACAGTAATTTGATTTTGACCAGTGTGTGATTTAAGGGAGTAGCCCTGAAAGGAAAGAGAATTTATTTCATATGCATGTGAGAGCTGTTTTTGCGATTTAAATGTTTTATGATTCATAGTTTCACTTGCAAGCATAGTGGTGACAAAGGCTCATGAATTCAATGTTCAATCTTTTCATGTTGCCATCCCCGTTATCTGCCATGAACTCCACCCAACTCACGAGAAGATACAATCAATTCCCTGTAAATAATGCAGCTCTGATACCAAACTCCTGCTAATAAGGCACTAACCTCCTTTTTCCCCTTACCTGATCGTACCTGAGTGTACAATTACTGCACACACATTACAACCACGGCCTGATCTTCATACTCCTTGCCAAAATTCACTCCTTAGTGTATTCAGGCTATACAGGAGTTGATCTAAGTTCATATTTTCCTCATTGGTGTGCAAACAGGATTACAATAGCAAACAGGGGCCTGTGGGTGGTAATGGACAGGGCGAAGCTGTTATCGGATGAATCTGCTCATTTAAAAACACCCTGAATTCTAATGGACATCAAAGTGCTCTGACTTGTTTTGATATTCTGAAAAGGTGGATTGTACTTACAGTAAACCTGTTAGATATTGAACAATTATTGCTGTTGAATGTACTAAAAGTAAAACTATCAATGGGGTTCTAAAACTGCACCGAAGTTCGTGTAATAGACCCCCACATATTTATTTGACCTGCTTCCACTAAAGTGATTGTGTTTTGTGTTTCATAAATTTGGTGATTGGTGAAATATAATGAAAAGCTTTATTGGGTTGTTGTGTCATTATCCCAAACCCAACTTTGAGTTGTGTGAATCTATACACACGTCATCACTGACAGTTGTATACTTTCGGCTTTCACAAACAACTGAATTTTGCTCAATGGTTTCTCCAGCATTGCAACCTCTTGCAGAAGATATGTTATTCTGTTGCATATCTACAACTGGATCAAATCAAAGCAGGTGAAGATTTGAAGTAGCTGCAGACATGCATGAAACATTTAGAAGTTTCATTCTCTGATGTATATTGAAAGGCATTATGAATATATATAACTCAACCAAAGCTTCATGCAAAGCTCTCTCTCTTTCTCATACACACACACACACACATACACACGTGCACACGTGCACACGCGCACACGCACACCTCGGCTCCAAATGTCCACCAGGTGACCCCCACAGCCAACCACCACTCTCACTGCAGAGGATTTAAAAAAAAAAGATGTTAATAATATTTACAAACCAAACAAAAGAGCATCTGATTTTGTAAACCTCAAAACAGAGATCTGGACAAATGTCTATTTGACTGGTGATAAAAGAATGAGTCAGCATCTCTGTGCTGGCCCAAGAGAGAATGGGCTCTGAACAAATACAGTTAGTGTGCGCCAAGAGAGTGAGCAGGGGATAATATTGGTGGCAGAAGGCCTGATCCAGGTTAAAATGTATTATTTTTTTTTTTTTTCTCAGTCCCTTCAGCTTTTAGGCTGACTTTACAGCTTAAGGAGATGGCTAAAGAATGAGCCATGGAGCGTACCTCATGTTATTTAATGGAACTCACCAAATTATAAGCTAAATAGAAGAATATTGGTGAGATACTACTGTATTTTATTGAAATTCCACATTGAATACATAATCACACCACAGTAGGATAACTATAGTTTCAAGAAAGCAACTCATCATGTTCAAAAGCTTGATGTTTTTGGGCCCATTTATTATATTGGGTGCAGCTCTGACTGCCACCTCCCGACCCAGAAATGGATTAAGGGGAAGAAGATGGATGGATGGATTTATTGTATCGTGAATGCGACCCAACAGATCGATGAAATTACTTAAAGAATTGGATCTCAAAAACATATAATGAGCTTCACTGTGTAGAAAACAGCAACACATATTTACTGGGAGCAGAGATACGACTACGCTTTAGGAGAATCCTTTATAACATTGTAACAGCTAGGTACACATTTAAAATGTAAAAAAAAACGTCAGAAAGATTGGTCAGAAAGTTACTTAAACTATTAACATTAATCCCACGTAACTTGAGCTGTTTGTGATTGATTGATTAAAATCGGAATGACAACGTGGAATAATTCATATGAACAGACACAAGACACACATTGAATTGAAATGTTGTGACTTTTATTGTTGCACAAAGGTTAAAACACATAGTTCATTCTAACCAAGGGCGTAGGTTTGCGTGGGGACCATGGGGACATGTCCCCACCAATATTTGGTGAGGACTAAAAAGTCCCCACCAAAATGACATGATGTCCCGTGACCAGTGGCGGAGCCAGAGGGGTAGCCAGGGTGGCCACTGCCACCTCTAAAAATATCCTTGCCACCCCCAGTGCCCCCCTCGGAAGACGGCAATGTAATAATGTTAATCTTGAGAATCTTCCGCACTTTTTCCGGCAAAAGCTAAAAATTCCCACGGTTTCCCCCGTCTGTGAACGCACCCTGACTCCGTGGAGCCGGTGCTGTATGCTAATATTTTGGGTTGTTGGACATGTGCCCAAGTCGTGATGAAAACAAAGAGGTAAGTTAGCGATGCAGAGCCAACCGTTTACATTTGACACAAAGTATAGACACACGTACTGCAGCGCATTACTTGTTCAGTTTGTAGAACTTTTAGTGTGTGTATGTGTGTGTGCGTGCCTGTATGCGCGCCTGTGTGCGTGTGTCAGCGTGCCAGTGTGTCTGCGTGTGTGTGCGTGCCTGTGTGTGCCAGTGTGGGTCTGCGTGCCTGTGTGTGTGTGCGTGCCTGTGTGTCTGCGTGTGTGTGCGTGCCTGTGTGTGCCAGTGTGGGTCTGCGTGCCTGTGTGTGTGTGCGTGCCTGTGTGTCTGCGTGTGTGTGCGTGCCTGTGTGTGCCAGTGTGGGTCTGCGTGCCTGTGTGTGTGTGCGTGCCTGTGTGTCTGCGTGTGTGTGCGTGCCTGTGTGTGCCAGTGTGGGTCTGCGTGCCTGTGTGTGTGTGCGTGCGGGGTGCATGCGTGTTTATTTTCCATTATTAATTGCCCATCGTATCATCGCCCTCTTCCCTTTAGTCTAAACATTAAAAGAAAAGGAGGAAACATTGCCTACAGGCCTTTTTTTGTTAGGAAAAGGCTTGTAGATCAGCCTGAAGGTCAGACTCTGAGGCAGTATGTTTTAAGATGATGAGGAATTTGTTGTGTTGTATTAAAATATAGCTTATATAATTGAGTTTCAGAGAATGAGAGGGTGTCGCAGACAGGTGCAGGATCGTCTGTTGGCAGAAGGCGTTTTTTCACACACAAAAAAAGAAACAAAATAGCTAAGATTATGGATGATGTGCAGTCGCTTGACCCCAAAACGGGGAACGTTTGGAAAGTGTTTCATGAGCTTTTTTTTGAGGCTTGCAAAGATCTTTTTAATACCTGTCAGTACTGCGTCTTGTGAAATAAGTTTCTCTGTCCTAAAACTTATTAAAAACCATCTCAGAACGACCATGGCAGATGATTGAGTCATCTTGGTATCCTCAGTGTAGGGTAAAGGAGGGCTCAGGGCTGAATATGGATGAGTTTGTCAACATCTTTGCTGCTTTACACCAGAACCGTAGGAATTTGCTAAATTTGTTAAAAGAAAAAATGTAATGCAATGTTTGAATGATGTTATTTTGCACTTTTTTTGTTCAGACTACTGTTTAAATACACTTTTTTTTTTTTGCTTTGTAGTTTCCAAGTGCATGGGGCGACAGTAGCTCAGTTGGTAGAGCATTGGCCTTATGGCCAGAAGGTTGTGGGTTCAATTCCCACCTCTGCACCTTCTCCACCGACTCCCACTGATGACTGCTGTCGTTGTCTCCTTGGGCAAGACACTTAACCTCACTTTGCCATAAGCCCCCACTGAAAGATCAAGGCTCTGCTCACACTCAGAGAGCAGCCGTCCTCCTGTGGACTCACCACCTGCAGAGGGTCAGTGAGGGGCTGGTGCTATGAGACTTGGGTGGCATCTCTGACTGCCACCCCCCTGACCCAGAAATGGATTAAAGGGTAGAAAATGGATGGATGGATGGATGGAGTTTCCAAGTATGCTCTCAGTTCACTTTATATTAAAAATAATGACAAGATTAAGATTAAAATGTATCGTTTAGCCAGTTTTTGTGCGAAATAAAATTTCGGAATAGTATAAATGTGGACCCCTCAAAAAAACCCTTGCCACCCCCTGGCCACCCTCTGTTTAAGAGTCTGGCTCCGCCACTGCCCGTGACCCGGACGGTCCGGGACACATGTCTTCCGTTTGTGCACACGTCGCGCCTCCTCCTCACCTCCAGAGCAACAGCAGCAGCAGCAGCACGTGACCCGTTCCGTTCTCTGCAGTGATTGGCTGTCTTCTTCAGCGCCAAACTGAAGCACTGAGCGACTGTTTAATTTTTAAAAGTTAGCCAGCGTGAAGCAAGTGGTTTTTTCCGTTCCCTGAGCGTTGTAGCACGTGAGTAATCAGAGGAAAGTACTGTAGATCCATTACCATTCAAAGTACTTACGTTATTTCTAATCTGTCAGCGCACTGTTTAATGTTCCGAGGAGCTCACACGGCACAGAGACAGAACAGAACTGGCTCCAATAAAGAAACAGGTTGGTTGAAAGGCTGAAAAAATACTTATTGTGCTCTTACTATCCAAAATGTATAAGTGGGTGTGTTGTGTGAATCAGGATAAACTAGGGATGAAAATATTCCACGGATCCACGATTTACAACCTTTATCTGCTGATAATGTAATTTCTGTGAAATGTGTGACAGCGGGCAATTGCTGTTATTTGCTCTAAGCACATTCAAGCGATGCACTCGAATGTGCACGTCCTGGTGCAGCTGCTGCCGCTTTGTAATGACAGCCGCGGCGCTCAGTGAAAGCACAGCTCTAACATGGTACCGAGCTCGGACCATATGCAGACAGAACCATGTTGCAAGTGCGGGTCTCCCTCGTATCTCCCCCGTTTCTCCCCTGTGTCTCTGACATGTCTCTCCCCTGACTCTTCCCAAAGCGCAACCAGCGCTCCCGAAATTAAAGCTCGGATACCTAAATTTTCCATTGCGTTAACGATGCATGCTGGTTGTGCGCAAAACACACCACAACAGGTCAATTTAAGTTTTTATTTTGCATACTTGAGAGCCCTGTGAGTCATTAGTTGCCTTTTTGGGTTGAGAGTGGAATTAAAAAAAAGAAAATATAGAAAAATCCACACTGTTACTTATTGCCAAACTCTTGTTAACTCATTGTATTGAGAAATACTATGTAACTTTTGACATTGGCCAAGTTATATAAATGATTCTGCAGTTCATGTATATGAATGTCTGTTTTTGATTGTCTATACCTTCTTATATAATTTAGAAAAAAGCCACCTCCACAAAAAAAGATAAAAGATATCAGGAGCTTTTTTAACAGTTGGAAAGTAAGTAAGAGAAAGCACAAGTAATAGCAAATTATGAATTGTGATGATTAATCTTCTGTTAACATACATAGGAAACTCAACCAACAAGAGAGAACAATATAGGGAATGTTGAGGTAGAAACAACAGGCCCTTCAGTGCATCAGGCGAGGTTGGAATTTTGTAGGTATGCATGGGACTATGAATTGTTTTTAGAGATTGATCGTATATGTCAAACAATGTAGTGAGCTACTCACTGTAGATTCTAATTCAATATTTTCTCCTCTGTTTTTATTTATTATAGGAAATTGAAAGATCAGAGCATGATTTATTTCAAGTATCGAGAGCAGTTCCTGAACTGTTAGAGCCTCAGGTGAGGGCTATTTATGTAGATTTGGATTAGGTTTAAGTCAGTATAGAATGAACGCAACACAAAACTCAGAAGCTCTGATCCAATTGATTTTGTGTTAACTATTAGAAAAAATCCTTAACTGCTTCTCATTCAGTCTACAGCTGAGTTTAGTATAGAAGGCAACATACTATTGCAAATATAGTGTGTGATCACACAACAAATTCTGGGGGAGAAACTCTGGACCCCGTGTCAATGGGTGTAGACTCAGGTCGTAGTGAATGTCCCCACCAAGATTGGAACCAAACCTACACCATTGATTCTAACACTAATACTTATGACAATGCTGACAATATGAATTGCTGAATATGTTGCAGAATGTTCTTAATTAATTGTGTCTTCTTTCACGTCCACAGCCCTTGAAGATGCACTGCAAAACCTGCTCCCTTGTAACCAGCTCTGGACAAGTCGTCGGCAATAATGCGGGTGAAGAAATAGACCAGTCGGAATGCGTTATCCGTATGAACGACGCTCCAAGCCTGGGCTACCAAAGCGATGTCGGCCGTCGCACCAGTGTCCGTGTGATAGCCCACAGCAGCCTCCAGAGAGTGCTGAGGAACAGGCACCAGCTGCTCAACCACAGTCAAGAAACTGTGTTCATTTTTTGGGGTCCGAGCCACCTCATGAGGAGAGACGGCAAGGGTCTTGTTTACAACCATCTGCGTCTGCTGAAGAAAGTCATGCCCACACTCAAGATCTACATGATCTCCCGAATACAGATGCTGAAGTTTGATGAGCTCTTCAGGAAGGAGACGGGGATAGACAGGTGACTGCAGAAAATCAATCAAATCAAACATATTTATTTCAATCTTGTATATACATTCAACAAAGCTGGAGGCAAAGTAAACTCAATTCAATTAAATGTATTCTTGTTTAGACATAAATCACAACAGTGGTTCTCTTGGAGGACTTTACACAACTGTTGAATTCGCCAACAGAGATCAGAGAATCAAACCATTGGTCCTTAAAGGGCAGATGATAAATGTCCATAGATGATGAATGTTGAGTGTCCTGGATCATCCCCACTGTCCTTTTAGTTAAACCTTAAATGTAAACCGAAAAATATATTTGGCTCCAACCCCTCTCACTGTCACCCTAACCTTCGCCACAGGCCCAAACACTCTCTGACTCTACGCCGGTCTCCCATCACCCCTCTCTTTCATGTACTTTTCATCCATCCATTTTCTTCCCCTTAATCCATTTCTGGGTCGGGGGGGTGGCAGTCAGAGCTGCACCCAGTACACTCAGCACCAGCCCCTCACTGATCCTCATGAAGCTCTTCGCGAAAGTTCACTGTGGTAGACCCGGCCGCTGCTACAAGCCTGCTCATCCTCTACTCATTACACCAGCAAAACGCCCACTTCCAATCCACCAATAACCACCAGGACAGCAAGTTAAAAGCCGGAGACGCCCACTTCCCGGCCTTCTGAAGTCTGCAAGCTTCTGAAGCCTGCAAGCTTCTGAAGCCGGCAAGCTTCTGAAGCCTGCAAGCTTCTGAAGCCTGCAAGCTTCTGAAGCCTGCAAGCTTCTGAAGCCTGCAAGGTGCATGTCGCTAACGCACCTGTTCGCAAATGCATGCGTTGTTCTGGAGGGGTCGCTTCTGCTCACGTGTTGCTCGTGCGCGTGGCCCGGCTGTCCTCAGTCTGGCTGCTCGTGGTCTGCTCCTCCTCCGCGTCCCTGCACCTGCTGTGGTTCGCGTGTCTCCACTGCTCTCCTCCTCTGTGGGCTGATCCGCGGGGCCCCTCCGCGGGGCCCCTCTGCAGGTTCTGTGCTGCTCGTTCCTCGTGGTCTGCTGCCGCGCGCAGACGGTCTGGCGGTGCCGTGCATGTCCCTGCCTCCGATTGGCGGTGCCGCGTTGTCCCGTTGCTTTTCCCAAGTCTCCTGGGATGTGAGTACAGTGAGTGTGCCGACCGCGGACGGATTAATCCCTGAGTCTAGGCTGCAGGCGGCTGGTTTTTGCCCTACACACTTGACTGCAGGCGTCAGTTTTCGCCCCGTGCTTGGTCTGCAGGCTCCGTTTTCACACGTGTTTGAGCTAACTGAGGGGCAATGCATATTAAATGGCATCAATCTCTATTGTCTGTGGGATATAAGAGGAGCACTGTGCATAATTCAGATTCATGTTCTGCCACTTGCAGTAAAACCACGTTGGAAATATGTGCAAAGACTACCCCATCGTGATCCAGACGGCACGCACCAGAGCTCTTGCCACGGCGCCATCTTTACGGCATTAATCTCATTACTCGCAGGTCACTATTGTTAAATGGATGTATTTAAATTCGTCTATCTGCAGGAGGAAGGAGGGGCCATGCATTTAAATAGCTAGGTCACTAGTATTAAATTGGGTAACTAAACTGCAGTTGTTGCATTTTGAAAGTGCAGCAGAAAGAAAAAGGGCCCAATGTGAATCTGCAATGGGTTTGAAGTGGAGTTGGAGCTAATGAACGCATGGAAAAGTGATCGTTCATGCGTATCTGCCATAACCAAAGCAGCAAGATGGCTCCAGGGGACATCTGTTATTCGCATGGGAATGTTTCGGATTCGGGATGATTTATTTCCTCAGGCTCTTAAACAACCATGGGCATGGTTCTCTGACCGCCGCTGCTGCGGTCCCTGCTGCCGTTCCTACTGATGCCTGATCCCGCTGCTGCCTGTTCCCGCTGCTGCCTGTTCCTGCTGCCGCTCCTGCTGCTGCCTGTTCCTGCTGCCTGCTCCTGCTGCTCCTACTACTACATGTGCCGCTGCTGCTGTTCCTGCTGCCGCCTGTCCCTGCTGCCTGCTCCTGCTGCTCCTGCTACTACATGTGCCGCTGCTGCTGTTCCTGCCGCTGCCGCTCCGCAGGCTCCCAGGCTGCACCTGTCTCTACGGCTCGGCTCTTTCAGACACGTATGTAACCTGGCTCACGGAGACAAGCGGCGCACGCTGGCGTGACACGTCTGTTGTTCGTATGAATCGCATCGTGGTGCTCCTGCTAATGCTGCTTCTGCTGCTTCATACTGCTACCGCTACTGCTGCTACTGCTGCCGCTAATGCTGCTATTGCTGCCGCTGCTGCTTCATACTGCTACTGCTGCCGTGCTGCTGCTGCTTCTTTACTTTGACACCTCTCTTCACTTCGCATCTCTTTTACTGAAACACTAAACAGCTTCAACAATATTCTACTGCTGTGGCTTTGATACAGGATTATTGCTGTTATTATCTACGGATGCTGCAACCGCTGCTGCTGCTGCTGCTTCATACTGCTGCTGCTGCTTCATACTGCTACTGCTGCTCCTGCTAATGCTGCTTCTGCTGCTTCATACTGCTACCGTTACTGCTGCTACTGCTGCCGCTGCTGCTTCATACTGCATCTGCTGCCGTGCTGCTGCTGCTTCATGTACTTTAACATCTCTCTTCACTTCGCATCTCTTTTACTGAAACACTAAACAGCTACAACAATATTCTACTGCTCTGGCTTTGATACAGGATTATTGCTGTTATTATCTACGGATGCTGCAGCTGCTGCTGCAGCTGCTTCATACTGCTACTGCTGCTGCTTCATACTGCTACTGCTACTGCTGCTGCTTCATACTGCTACTGCTGCTACTACTGCTGCTGCTGCTTCATACTGCTACTGCTGCTGCTTCATACTGCTACTGCTACTGCTGCTGCTTCATACTGCTACTGCTGCTACTACTGCTGCTGCTGCTTCATTTACTTTGCCATCTCTCTTTACTTGCATCTCTTTTACTGAAACACTGAACAGCTACAACAACATTCTACTGCTGTGGCTTAGATACAGAATTTTTACTGTTATTTTCTAAGGACGCTGCTGCTGCTGCTGCTGCTGCTACTGCTGCTGCCGCGGCTTGATACAGGTCTATTGCTGCTATCATCTGAGGTTACTGCTGCTGCCGCTGCTGCTACTGCTGCAACCCACTCTCTCAGAAGCTTATCCCGCTTCTAATGGATGCAGCCCGGCTGAGTATGCCGCGCTGCGCTGGACTCGCACCTATGCTCCCAGGGTCGCTTCGGCGGTCGTGCTTCATCTCTCTACTTAATCTTCTGATCTATCAGATGCAGCTGGCCAAGTAGCTGCGCTGAGCCGTCAATCGGACTCCTAATCAAAGGCATCCATACCTGTATTTTTCACTCTTCTGATCGCAGGCTCCCCATCATGCTGCCCATTCCTGCAGCGGCTCTGAGCGGCACTGAACTCCGGCTCATCTTCCAAGTACATGTCTGCCCTCCTCGCAGCATCTTCCTGCTCTCCTTCTGTGGCTTCTCTGCATAAGCGTCTCACCATTGCTCACTCAACCTTCATGCGGTCCGAGACACGGCTTTCCCGACCATCCTACTATCCTGATTATCTACTCTCCAACCCAAGATTCTAAGCGTAAGGGCGCCTGCAACATCAATGGCCCTCTCCGACATGTCTCTGCCCCTACAGGTCTCCGCTTCTACACGGACGCTGCCCCTTCCGTGGGTTTTGGGGGATTCTTCCAGGACCATTGGTTTGCCGAGCGTGGCCGCTACTTTCCACCGGAGCATCTCCTCTGCCCTACACGAGATATTCCCAGTGGTCGTGGCCTGCGCGCTGTGGAATCACACGTGGCAGAGAAAGAGGATCTCTGTCATGTGTGCTAATCTCGACGTAGTGGAAGCATTAAACAAAGGTCGCTCTTTTTCACCCAACATAATGTCCCCTGACCATTTCAACCTCCGTCTCAAACATTCAAAAATCAAAGGAGCCTGCAATATAGTAATAGCTCGCTCGGACACATCTCTCTGCCCCTACAAATCCTTTATGCGTTACACTCGCCTCCGCTGCAAAAAGGAGAGTTTAACGGACCTCTATTTCTCACTTCAGACATTCTTCCCATGACAGCAACCTGGTTCAGAGCTCAACTAAGATCCCTACTGCTCCTCTGTAAATTGTCTCCCCAGCTCTATACAGCCCACTCCTTCAGGATAGGCGCCGCCAGGCGCGCGGCCTCGCTGGGGCTCCCCCACACCTCTCTGCAACAGCTGGGGCGCTGTTCCTCTTCGGCTTTCTCCACCTACATCAGGCCAGACGCGTCCGCCATCCTGGCTGCACAACGGCTACTGGCTTCCTCGTAAGCTCCCAGCAAAGCAATACAAAGCAAGTAAGTGAACCAATAGGATTTCTGGTGGCGGCACGCACTTTAAAGATAACTCTGCTACAGCGTCTGGTACCGATCGTGATGCGAGCGCTCACGTCCCAGACAGCGTCCGGTTGATCGTGATGCGAGCGCACACGTCCCGGCGCTCAAAGATAACTCTGCTACAGCGTCTGGTATTGATCGTGATGCGAGCGCTCACGTCCCAGACAGCGTCCGGTTGATCGTGATGCGAGCGCTCACGTCCCGGCGCTTAAAGATAACTCCACTGCAGCGTCTGGTACCGATCGTGATGCGAGCGCTCACGTCCCAGACAGCGTCCGGTTGATCGTGATGCGAGCGCTCACGTCCCGGCGCTCAAAGACAACTCTGCTACAGCGTCTGGTATCGATCGTGATGCGAGCGCTCACGTCCCAGACAGCGTCCGGTTGATCGTGATGCGAGCACTCACGTCCCGGCGCTTAAAGACAACTCTGCTACAGCGTCTGGTATCGATCGTGATGCGAGCGCTCACGTCCCAGGCAGCGTCCGGTTGATCGTGAAGCGAGCGCTCACGTCCCGGCACGCAAAGATAACTTTGCCCGTTTTTGGGGATTATGCGCGCGAGCAAGCGCCGCACTCATCAGCATCTCTCCCGGGCCTAGGGCGCCAAACATACTCAATCAATAAACTTCTAACTGCATTTTCCTCTTGGGTCTCTCCAAAGTGAAATGAAGCTCTTCGCGAAAGTTCACTGTGGTAGACCCGGCCGCTGCTTCAAGCCTGCTCATCCTCTACTCATTACACCAGCAAAACGCCCACTTCCAATCCACCAATAACCACCAGGACAGCAAGTTAAAAGCCGGAGACGCCCACTTCCCGGCCTTCTGAAGTCTGCAAAGCCTCCGCCGCCCCACCTCCTCCTTCTCTCTTCAGAGCGTGCTCGCCTACTGCCTCTGCCGTCACCAGTGCCTAGGCCCCGGGGGGGATTATGCGCGCGAGCAAGCGCCGCACTCATCAGCATCTCTCCCGGGCCTAGGGCGCCAAACATACTCAATCAATAAACTTCTAACTGCATTTTCCTCTTGGGTCTCTCCAAAGTGAACTGCAGGTGGTGAGTCCACAGGAGCTGAGATCTTTCAGTGGGAGCTTCAGGCAAAGTGGGGTTAAGTGTCTTGCCCAAGGACACAACGACAGCATGTACTTTTCAGTGTTTTTTTTTATTTATTTATTTTTAATTGAGTAAGGCTGGAACATTGTTTTAATTGTTTTGTTAAATTGTTCCAACTCTATAGCCTGGGAGTCCCCATGCTGCTGCATCTACTCAAACTATTTGAAGCTGCACAACAAATACTCATTGATTTTACAGTAGTTCTAAATTTAGGCAAAAAATATGTAGGAATATTTGGATAATTGATTCATTATTCATGTGAGTAATTGATTGGCTGTTTGGACAGCAGAAGGCCCATAAATATTCATAGATAGAGTTAACAAAAAAAACTAATGCGACTTGAGAACATCTAAGAAAATTAGAATATTGTTCAAAAGTTTATTGTTTTCTGTATTTCAACTAACAATGTTAAATCAATATATGATATAGACTCATTATATGATTTAGACTTGTATTCTGTATAAAGCTCACATAAAACTTACATCTTTTGAGCTGTTCAAAAATGTATTAATCAATAAATAGTATTAGTTGACAACTTTAAATAATTCATTTCGATTAATCAATAGACTTATTACAGCCCTACTTTGGATGCTGTTATTATACGGATAGAATGCTAATAATTGTTGAAAAAATAACACCTTACTCATAAAGAGAAGCACATTTGCAGACAAAGAGGCTCAGGGTCCTGTTGGAGCTGTTGGTGTAAATGTTATACTTTTATCTCTTTCTCGTGAATAAAAGCATGCCTTTAGGTCCAATTGATAAAAATTGTCCGAAGGCCACTGAGACTTTTCTGATGTCTTTCAGGAAGAAATCCAACGTGTGGCTGAGCACTGGTTGGTTCACGATGGCCACCGCCCTTGAGCTGTGTGACCGGATCAATGTGTTCGGGATGGTGCCACCGGACTACTGCAAGTAAGTCTGCCAGGGCTGGTTCACTTTGGAATATCAAATATCAATAGCAGGGCTGTTCTCAGTGGTGTGTTTGTTGCCATGTAGAGTTCAGAGTTATTTGTTTAGATTTTTGTTTCAAACTCAAATACTCAATATTCCTATCCTGTTTAACTACCTTCCTTGACTATACTATATGAAATCATCTCAAATTGTTTCTGTACCACTTTGCACACTGACAGGTAAGATTTGTCAGCCTGAGGTTTAGTGAGTGTCGGCAGTACTCTGTAAAGCCTGTAAAGCCTTCAGTGTTAAAGTCAGTGTTGCTGTTCATGCATTGCTGCACACACTGAAATAATAGTTATGATAATTGCTGACTGAACAATCTGATCTGATTTTTTGGTCTGAGTTGGCATCTTCACTATTGTCCTTTTTGTAAGAGCAATAATTGCCCAGTTAGAGCCTCTGGTGTGCAGACCGTGGGTTTAAGATGCTGTTGTGAATAATAATAACCACAGTGCACTCAGATCGTTCTGTTTGTCTTTGTTCAGTGTTTTCTCCTGAGCGTGTCCTCAGCCTCCTTTCCATTGCACAAATTGTTTTATTCCTCTGTATGTCCTCTGCAGATCGCCCTTGCGTCGCTCTGTGCCATATCATTACTACGAGCCCTCAGGACCAGAGGAGTGCTCCATGTATCTGTCTCATGAGAGGAGTCGGCGAGGGAGCCATCACTTTATCACTGAGAAAATGGTCTTTTCAAACTGGGCCCAAACACTGAACATTGACTTCCACCAGCCAGAGTGGGCCCCTCCTGCTGTCGGGAACAGTTCGTTCACTGCTGTTCCTGCAGGATCTTGAAGTTTCTATAGTGTGAGGATGGTGTAACCACTCTGACGCAGCAGATGTCCACTGTCGGCCCAGAGCACAGGCACTTTGTCAGTTTGTCAGAGTCGAACAGGATCCGTGCATGTGATGCAGACGTCAGTGACACGTCAGTGCCTAAGCTCCATGCCTTTCACCAAATGCTTTTATTTGACTATATCTTGAGTCTGTTATTTTGTGCACACTGAACCATGACCCACGTACATTCTGCCAGTGTGACCAATGACATTCTTTCATTCATTCAATTTATTTTGGGCGAAGGTGGCATGAGATGCCCCCCCTTTATTGAATATTAAAAATTACAAAAAAATAAAACAAAAATAAAGCAACAAAGAAAAGCAAACAATAGCTAACAATAAAAAAAGATATATAAGAGACAAAATAACAATACGTTGAAATTAAAGAATTTACATTAAACTAACCTCATGCACACGGTGGGGGCAGGAAAGGGGGGAGGGGGTCTTGGGTCAGACTTGCAAGCTACATTTGCTGAGTGTGACATACAGTAGCAGTACAGAGCCATTCTGGAGCTGTGCTAAGATCAGTGAGCACATTTTGATGTGCACAGTCCATCTTTGCAGTTTATTTGTGGATTTGTCAATCCTCATGGATCAATATTTCTATCAATAATAATTTGCACTGATATGTCATCCCCCTAACTTATGCACAAATGCAACTTATACAACAATCCCAAACTTCATTGACTGATGACTGAACAAAGGAGGAGAGTACCATGGGATTCATGTGCACTTGTAAAGGACCGGAAAGCATTGTGCAGAACAACATGGAAATGTTTCAGGACTGAAGGGTGTATTCACACTTGTGAAAACAAGTGAAAAAACAGACCAGTTTTGAGAGTAACTAGTTGAGAGAAACTAGTTAAATGGATTTTGTTACATACTTACCTTCATTTATGTTGTTTCAGCTTTAAGACCTGATTAACACCCATTCAAATTCGGAAGGCCGATGCTACACACTGATTGCCTCACTTCTGTCAACCTGTCCCAGGGCAGCTGTGGCAACAGTAGTACATCACCACCATGTAACGAGGGAATGAATAATGTCAGGTGAAGTGTCTTTGAGTGTCCAGAAACGCTGTATAAAACGGATACATTTAAAAGTAACAGTGCATGTCCTTTCAAATGTGGGAAACAGATAATTGCTGTTCTTGAGTGTTGAATATTGATTCGAGCCGAGCATACTCTTCTGGAATCCCAAAGTGCTAACGCTCTCACATGGAGCAGAGTGTCATGCTAAGTGCACCGGCTGCTCCTGTGATCGCCGACGTGCACTCTGCAAACCAATTATCTCCTCCTCAGGTAGAAGGGTTCGGATGCAAAAGCTTCAAAAGACAGTGCTGGTAAAAACATCCACATAGCTGTCATCTGCACCGTGTAATTATCACTGTCAACCATAAGACAGGGACAATCCAACATGTGTACTTGCATAAAGAAGTCATCTTGGATTGATTTGACAGTTACAGAAAAACAATGGGATTATGACACATTATGCGACGGTAATATACAACGAAGCTTTAATGTAATTATTGTTTATATGTTGTTTAAATACTGCCAAAGATGTTTGTGGCATTTACATACACTAGTTTATACCTGGGTTTGTTTCTGTTTCTCTAATGTTTTGCTGGTGATTTGACATTTTGTTCTCAGACAACTGTCCTGATTTAGGGCTTTAAAAAAATAAATTGAATAGAATTTATACTGTTGAAGCCTCATCTGTATATATTTGTCAGATGCTTTGAAACGGCAATGTGCAACATTCTTTGTAGTGAAAAGTCATCTATAATCATATAATTGAAAAGTGTTCAATAATTGCTGGATTGTAAATGGATGGAACAAGGGCGTAAAGTACAGTGTGTCTTTGCTTCCTGCACATTAGGGTTTGTTGTCATATCTCTTCATATAAAAGACCTATTCATAAAGTCAACACAAAACAAAACCATTACAAAAGAATGTTAGTATTAATTTAACTTGGAGAGTGGGAAGATTGTCGCTCTTACAACCCTTCCTTTCATTTTTCAAATGGGGAACCAAGGTAAGGAGGAGAATCATAATTACCAAACTGAAAATACCATAGGTTGATTTATCTATATTTTTTAAAGCTTTTTTTGCATTTAGTTATTGCTCCATACCCCCAATTTAAATTATACCACAAAGTTGATAAGTAACGTGACAGCACAAAACTGAACACAACAACTTAACATCAATTCAAAGTCTGTAATATGGGTTGGATTGGACTTAACATCAGGACATTTAAATAAGCAATATGTAAGATTTTCATGTCAAGTCATCATGAAAATCTAGTCTAATCTGTCAAAAGGCATTCATAAACCATGCTCTTTCCGAATACTTCTTTAACTGATAACAGTAGTTCAGCCGAGATATTTGACATTTCAAAATGGATTCACAGCCCCTAAATCTTGTTATTGTTTTCATTTCGATGTCCGCCCTCCACAGTTTTGCAAATTGAAAGTCTGGGATCCGGGTTCCCAGAACTCACCGTGTGAAGATAATCTCACTCGCCGCAGAACTAAAAAAGGATTCATATTGGGGCCTTTGTGAAAAAGGTGTTGGTCATAGATTTGTTGTTGACAATGAAACCAAATACGACACATTACATGAGTTGAGTAACACGGCAAAGTCTCAAATTCATTCATTTGAATTAGTTTGCTTTATCCTGTCATCAGACATTAAACTTATTTTCCCGTTTTTGCTTCATCAGAGTGAAACTATCATTTATACTTTTAACAGGTGCACCAATAAAAGTAAAAACTCCCAGACTATATATTAACTTTGTCATTTCATATTCTAGAATGTGAAATATTATCTTAAGTTGAAAATAGACAAGTGTTGAAGGGTAAAAGATATTATTGCCTGCCCTATCCCTATGCTACCACCAGAGGGAGGAGCTGTTTTTCAACATTGGAAAAATATCAGCTGTGTCAACCATGTAATGTTTTTGCATCAAATATCAGCCTACAACATTATTGTGTCTATAATCCTGACTTTTGTGACTCTGCTGCTCTTGACACGGCCACAGGTGATGCGGACCACTGCTGTTGCATTCGTGCACAATGTATTATGATAAACATTATACACATTATGCTTTACGCGGCACGGTGGCTGAGTGGATAGCACGCTCGTGTTCTCCCTGTGTCTGCGTAGGTTTCCTCCGGGTGCGCCGGTTTCCCCTACCACTAAAAACATGCACAATAGGTCTGAATGTAAATGAGAGAGTGAATGGATGGTGTTGGAGCTGATGGTCCAGTGTGTTCTGGACTCGCTTCTGTCATCACCGTGTGTGGAATGATTGGAACAATATCTGACTCTGAACATTGTAAAGCGCTTTGGGTGACCTTGGTCTGTAAAATGCGCTATATATATATAAAAAAAAACATTGATTACTTAATTGTGGCACGCATTTAATATTTATTGAATTAATTTTACAACCGTATAGTTGTACTGCCATTAATATTGATATGTTTTTGTGTTGTTGAAAAAAATGACAGATATGAATCCCAGCTTTCCAAGATAAAACTGTTGATTATTTGCTATTGTTTTTTGTGTGGCAAAAGGCAAATGTCCAGCCTCTCCCATTACAATTTCCTAAAAGCATTTTGGTCACAGTGCCTTTGACTAAGGAGTGAGGAGAGAGAACAAATAATGGCAGAAGCTTGTACGTTCAGCCTTGGCCTGAGATTCAGAGCCTGCATTAAAGGTGATTTCTCCCATCTCACTCAGGCGGCTTTTGGCTTCATGCTTCATCCCCATTGTACGAAAGCTAACAAAAGGGTGTGATTGTGCCCAGTGCCTGAGCTCAGAGCCATTGTCTCTGTCATTACACGGAGCAGCTGTGACACCGCACCTCCAGCTGTAATGTCACCTGCTTTTAGATATAGACATAACTGCGCACTAACTAGGACGTGTGGAAGAAGAAGACAGCTCTGTAGGGAAAATGTGCAACTATATATGTGTAACTATAGCAAAAAACACTGTCAGAAAAGGTGTGCCGTTTGGGGTTTCTGCGCCGACATTTACTTAATATGGTAAAATGTTGTGAGGGAAAAGAATCATGGGCCATGTGCATAAAGTCCCCTCTTCATTCCATCTTCAGATCTTTCCTGGAGAGAGAGTTTTTTGACTATGTGAGAAGTATACAACTGTGATGGCCTTAATATGATATAGATATAGATGAATAGAGAGAATATGCATTATTTTTGGCCATTCAAAATTGTGAGGAATTTTTTATTTGGTCTTTTCATGTTTTAGAATGTGGAATAGTATCTGAAATAAAAAGTATTTGGTGGAACACAGTTGAAAATTACTAATGATAAAGTTATGAAACTAGATTCTACAGTTCCAAAGATCAAAAACAACTCCCCATCTGTGACTGATGAAAAACAGTGTTGTAATAATGTCTCCTTTAAACAAATACTTGAATCATTTTGGTAAAATATCCTTCCAACAAAATATAATCACCTCTGTGTTACAAAAAACATTATAATTAACGTATTTTTTGGATGGCTTGTATATTCCATTAGTTAATCCTGTGGGCGCCAACGTTTTTTTCTACAATCTTACATGTAACAGAGGATGGAGAGCTGAAACTTTATAAAAGATAGAGGACCAGTGAAATTAAAATCAGACGCCAGATTTCTGTATAGAAACTGTCCGCTTATGTAGCAATTCTGCCACTTTGGTGCCTAAAGTTTGAACCATTACGTTATAGTCAGATAATGAGAATGGTTTATGAATCTAGGAGTTCATTAAAAAGAATTATTGTGTTTGTTCTGTTACACTATAATGTAAAAAAATAAAAAGGAAGCTAAAAGGAGCAGTATGTTAAAATCTGGTCCAAAGTGGTACCTCTCCCACTCTCCCTGACTCAGGTTGCCAGATATGCAGATAAATCCAGCAGGAACCATAATATCTGAATAGACAAGAGTTTTTTTCAACCAACACTTTTTTCACAAAGGCCTCGATAGAAATCCTGGGTTTACTCCTTGTTTTGTCATTAAATAGTTCTGGAAACCCGGATCACAGACTTTCTCATTAGTAAAACGGTGGAGGGCGGGACATCGATCAACAAGATTTAGGGGCTGGAAAACTAATTTTGAAATGTGAATGTCTCGGCTGAACTAATGTTATCAGTTAAAGAAATGATTTTTGACAAATTAGGGCCATTTAATTAAGGATGACTTGATATGAAAATCTTACAAATTGCCACTTTACTTCTGGAATGGTAAAAATGTAATCCAAATTGTTGTTGAGCATTGAGCAAAATAGAGTTTGTATGTTTAGTATTGTGACCACACCATTCCACGTTAACCATTGTGTTACTGTTGGAGGAGTTGTGCACAATGAAGCATTCTGAAAATAGATTAATGTTGAGATAATACTCATTCATACAGTTCCTTTTCCCATCTGTAACAAGTACAACAAAGATATACAACACTAAAGTGTGTGCGAAGCCAGTAGAATAATGAGTCTGAACTTCTTCTTAATGAAGTGGAACAAACATTTGAAAAAGGAAAAAATGTTCGAATGCAGAAATGAGTCCTTAAGGATAGTCTTTTAAAAGCTTTAGTGCTGGTATAGTAGTCAAAAACATGAATTAACATAACAACATAAAGCTGAAGGGCAGTCCCGGCTGTTAAATCTATTTTAGTGATAACTCTAAAACGTGAATAATGTCGTTTGAATAGATTGTTATAATCAATACCCCAATCATTCTTTAAAAATACACTGCTACTACTGTCAACACATTTCTGATTGATTAAAGTCCACCACACAAACCACATGAGTGCAACATGAACCACAGACATCATGGTATTTCATTAAAACAAACATTAAATTGGACAATGCGTCTAACTGACAGCATTAAAGACTATTCCATGTTATTTTAATCTCATTATCTGCCTTTCAGTGTCTCTCTCAGTCCAGAATATTCATATGAACCGTGTTGTCGCCCTCAGCATTCAGTGATATGACTGTGAATCCTTCTGTGGTTTTATGTGAGTGGATTGTCATGAGGAGGGCTGGTGCTGATGATGCAGCTCCTCTCTCACTTGGACTTGGCTCCAGCACAGTGAGGACAGCACAGGTGCCACATCCAGGCTCTCCAAGGAATACACTGCTATCATTATATTATTCATCCGTCGACCGAACAGAAGATTGTCATTTATGGACACTTGAAGGAAATGGATCTGGGTGTGTGGTACAATGGAGAAAAAAGGGTAAGAAAACGCAATGGAACTTTCTTTACAAATACAGTCAATGTTTCAAAGGTGTAAAATAATATGTGTAAATGTCCCTCACTAATCCCTGTGTGCCCTGCGTGTGTGTGTGTGTGTGTGTGTGTGTGTGTGTGTGTGTGTGTGTGTGTGTGTGTGTGTGTGTGTGTGTGTGTGTGTGTGTGTGTGTGTGTGTGTGTGCAGAGTGTGCCGGTGAATGGCAGTGCAGAGTCGATGTGCAGAACAGAGCTGAGAGCCAACAGCACTTGTGGCCCCCCAGAGCTGTTGGTCACAGCCTCAGTCATCTCCATGAGTGTGGGCACCCTGTCCAACGGCCTGGCCCTCTTCATCCTACTCAAGTCCTACAGACGTGTGCACACTAAGACCAGGGCATCCTTCTTGCTTTTTGCCAGCAGTCTGGTCATCACTGATCTGCTCGGACATCTCATCATTGGGGGCTTGGTGTTGTTTGTCTACAGCTTCCAGAAGCTGTGGGATGAGTTTGACCCACATGGGGTCTTGTGCAGCATGTTTGGGGCGTGTATGGTGTTCTTTGGCCTGAGCCCTCTGTTCCTGGGGAGCCTTATGGCTGTGGAGCGCTGCATCGGGGTGACTCGGCCATTGTTCCACTCCACAGCAGTGGCAGCTCACCACATGAGGAGGCTTTTGGGCTTGAGCTGGCTGCTGCCTGCTCTGGTGGCTGTGCTGCCAGTGCTTCTGGGGAGAGCCTACAGTGTGCAGAGGTCCAGGAGCTGGTGCTTCTTCCATATGGAGCAACCCCAGGATTGGCTGGACATCCTGCTGCCTCTGCTCTTCTCTGCCTTGGGACTGTTTGCTCTTTTCCTCTCCATCGTGTGCAACAGTTTGACCAGCTGTGCTCTGCTCCAGTCCAGACTGAGGCGTAGGCAGCGCTCCAGGAGTACATCCTACCATCTCGAGATGATCTGCCAGCTGCTCGTCATCATGCTGGTGTCCTGTGTGTGCTGGGGGCCGCTGCTGGTGAGTGAGCAGCCATACCTCTGTCATTAAACCATGCAAGCTGGTGAGTCTAAGTTAAGATTTTATTCAAATAGGATTTAATGCAATGCCATACATACAGCCAGAGTATTGTCACATTTAAAATCCCAAACATGGAGCATGGAGCATGGCGTTGTCATTCATTATGCACACCATTCGAATACACACACACTCACACACTCACACACTCACACACTTGAACAAGAGGAGAAAAACAAAGACGTCTTATGTGATGCATTTCGCACAAAGGAACATTAAACACAAGAAACAACCTGTGCCTCATCTTTCAGGCTTCAATTACTTTTTGTAACAATGAAATGGCAGCATAATAGCAGGCCTGTGGAGCAGTAAATGACTGAAGACAGGCACAAATGCGCGCTGATAAAAGTTGTTTTGAATGTGGTTTCTGTGATTGTTCTGCTCTATGATGTCCAGGTTTGGGTTATTGTGCTGAGTATCACAAGCAGAAAGGAGGCCCAGAGCCACAGTCTGCTCATGGCCGTGCGTATGGCCACATGGAACCAGATCCTGGACCCCTGGGTGTACATCCTGCTGAGGAAGGCGGTGATAAGGAAGCTCTTCAGTCTGCTGCACAGTGTTTGGGCCGTGAGGTCTCTGGAGCTGCAGCTGTGGCAGGGCAGTGTGCAACGCAGCTCTGTGGACACGAGTCGCTCCGGCCACAGCTCCAGTGTGAGGCTGAGAGGGGCCCCGCTGAGTGATACTGTCATCAAGTGCATCTCCTAAAGCACCAGTCATCATCCAAAGGAACCAAACTTGTAAGCACAATGCAAGACTCTAATCATCTGTTGCACATTTTCTGTACTATGTAATCTGTGGGGTTATTTTTATTGTTTGTTATTTAGTATTACTTATTTTTTTAATATAACGATGCATGTATAATGTAAATGTGGTGTATGTCTATGTCTTAGGGACCAGGTCTGCAAACGATCTGTTAGCTACACGGCCTATGAACACAGCAGTTCCTGTAACAATGCTTCTTGTTCTGTCCCTCTCAAATAAACACATAATAATAATTAAAAAATCCAAGCGAAGTCACTGTGAATTTGTGTTTCATAAGTTCATGATGAAACTACATTTTGCACTGAATGGGGAACTTCCGTGTAGTTTGTGCTTCAGATGTTTGCTTGTAAAAGAGCTGATGTTTAAATAAATGTGTAAAATATCAATATAATCCAGCAGTGTGTGTTTCTTTCTCCATTGGTTAAGGGGTTGGAACTTTTAGAATTTGGTCACACACAACTTACATTTTACTATAATATTTTTGCGGGATTCTTAAATGAATTTCAAAATACTGGGAGTAATACTACCTTTAATGCTAATTATATATTCAATTTACATTCTTCTCTTTTTTTAGCGTCACCCTTATTACTGTATTATTGCAATACGTTTTTGAGTAACTTTGATTGTAAGCTAGGTTGAATTATACAATTAGTATGTTATGTGTTTTTATGATGTTGATGAATCACTTCAAAGAAACTATACTGTATATTCCAGTAACTATTGTGACTTCTGTGATGAACCTGCGCTCTCAAAACAGTTTAGTTCAATCAACAGTTTTCACATGAAGGTTTTTTTTAAATTCTTTTTCACATATCTAAATCAGCCTTTTTAGACAGACTCAGCCAATCAGTTCCAAGCCCAAAAAAATGACACATATTTACTCAAAAGGCAAGTGTTCAAAAGATAACATGTTTTCTGTCGTGGTTAGATTCAAGACTCAAAAGGATGTGAAAATGTGTTTACTAATAACTATCTTATTAGTAACTAGTCATAATTCAATCAATTGAGAAAGCCTTTTTCAATTTATTTTGTAAAGTTGTAAATAATGCATGTTGACACGGGATATTGGAGTCAGTATCAAATGGGAATACAAATGTTCAATTTGAAAATACTTCAGGCAAAATACAATCCAATAGAATTTAATCAAAAAATTACAAATATAATATCAGCAATTGGATATTTTAAATAGCAAGGTGTGACATGACCTTACATGACTGAAATTACATATGCAAATGGGTGGAAGGATAAAAGGGGAGTCCCTATAGATCCATGGGGAGTACACTGTTCTTGCTTTTGTCAACACCTGCTGTGCCCAGTGGAGGGCAGCAGAGCGCTACAGTGACGTCACTCAATGCCAGCTTGATGCAGTGACAGCCTCCATCCCCATCATACAGTTCTTCTATGGTCTGCGTCCATGTGTGCGCTCCAGTGTGTTCTGGACATCTGAGCAGGTTTGAGATCATGGGGACAGCGCCGTGGTGCAGGAGAGAGGGGGCAGTGGAGCTCAGGCTGCAATGTTTTCATCTTACTTCTCTCTGCTTTAGCACGACATACAAACATGTTATAGACTTATAGAAATGACAGGAGATTACAGTTAAACGAGATAAACACTGGTTATCTGAAAATATGGTGATATACACTGGTTCTATTATATATTAAGTAAGTAAGTAAATATATAGGACCTCATATTTGTCATTTGTCATTTACAGGTAGCAACATTAATCTTGAATATCAAATTTTATAGCCGTGGTTCGGATTGGTGGCACGGTGCAACTGAACTGTTCGGATAGAAAAACTGACACAGTACTGAGTTAACTTGCTTTAAAGAAGACATATACGGCATTGATCCTTAAAGCTTGGGTGTCTATCAACCCCCTTGAAGATCGTTTTCTCATGCAACATCACCAATTCATAATAACAATAATAATAATAATACATTTTATTTATATGGCATCTTTCTAGGCACTAAAGGTTGCCATACAAAGGGTATACAGTTATAAGCAAAACAGTTAAAAGCCAGCTCTTTTTTAAATTCAGCAAAGTTCCACAACACCCACAACTGACTACCTGCCTCCTCACCCCCCACATCACCTCCTCACCCCCCACATCACCTCCTCACCCCCCACATCACCACCTAACCCCCTCAGTCGATCCTCGTCATCTCCAGACCCCAGCCCCACAAGTCCACCTCCAGGGAACTCTCCCTCCCCTGTTTTGTCCCTGTTCTCCTTTGCCCTTCTACAGCCCCCACTCTGGACCCTACACCTGTAATCTTTGGACTTTTAAACATCAAATCCATCAACAATAAATCCTTCATGACTTCATTATTCACAACTCCCTGGACTTCATGATTTTAACAGAAACGTGGCAAGTACAAAGCGACTGCACCCCCCTGATCGAAGCAACCCCCCCGGACTATACGTTCCTTCCCCAGCCAAGGCTGTCCGGTAAGGGAGGGGAAGGGGGGTTGTGGCTATTTTTAAGAACAATTTCACTCCTGGAGTATGGAATGTTTTTACTTCATTTGAACACCGGCTTTTATTATTTTATGTAAAAACCCTTGTGATTGTTTAAATTATTTATGGACCCCCTAAACTCAGCCCTGTTTTTATTTAACAATTCTACGATCTTTTATCCCAGTATATGGCCGTCCACAACAAAGTTTCAGTGATTTTAATGTTCATGTTTGCTGCACCCTAAAACCACATTCTTTAAAGGTGCCATATTTTGCTCTCTGTGTACTGGGTGGCATCTCTGGCCACTGCCCTGACCCAGAGATGGATTATGGGGAAGAACATGGATGGATGGATGTTTAAAGTCATATTTTGTGTCCGACCACTACATGCTGTCCTACTCTTGTTAGAAAACATGTTATCTTTTGCGTACTTAAAGGAACCCTGTTTCTCGGGGCTGGGAGCTGAGTGGTAGAGTTAAGGTGGTCCTCTCTTTGAAAAAAAATCTGACAGATGTGACAGAGGCCAAAATACAGTACAGTAGGTGAAAACTAGTGATGGAACCAAACCAGGTGAGGAAGATAAGATATTTCTGTCCCTCCAGGTTTTTTTTAATTTTTAAATCACAATACTGATAGTATTGATAGTAGGAACTGAAGAACACACATACAAAAGATGGATGCAATGGGCTTTTGGACACACAGACCATCAACAGAGACGAGGGGGCCGTCACCTACTAACAGAGGCCATGGCGTCGGTCACAACCTGGCTCGAAAAATCCTGCCTTCAACTTAATATATCCAAAACTGTTTGTATGTTCTTCTCAAAACACCAGAAATACTATAAACATTATACCAGATATTTCAATAGCAGGACAAAAAAATACAAGTAGTCACAGAATTCAAATATATAGGATTATAGATTGATTCAAACCTCAGCTTCAAAACACACATCCAAAACACTAGCAATAAGATTAAATTCTGTTTATCAAATTTTAGGTTCATTAGAGACTGTTTGTCAAATGAAGCTGCCAAAATATACTTCTTTTCCATGGTCCTCTCACATATCACATACTGTATCATAAGTTGGTCAAACGCACACGCCACAACAATCAAACCCATGAAATCATTATATAAACAAGCGCTTAAAACATTGGATAAAAAACCCTACAGATTTCTGAGGGGGAAGACTGCGTCCTCCCCCTCAGACAAACTGCATTTGGTCAGGCCGTGTTTTCTTATAAAGCCTCCCAGCAGTGGAACTCAGTGCCTGAAACAATTCGCGAGTCTTCCTCATTTAATTCATTTTTTAAAAAAGCCAAAAAGTGGCTCGTGGAGACACAGACTTGTGAGCACTAGTTATATTGAAAATGTATACTTTGCTCATTTCATGTACTATGTATGTATGCAATTATATTGTGTCTTGTAAATTGCTATGTGATTTTAATCTTGCTTTTTCAGGCTGGCTTTGACATCTGCCAAAGGGTCTACCGATGAAAATTAGCTTTTCTGCTAACTCGGGCATATTTACATTGTAAAATGTTGATTAATGTGCACTGTCCCTTTTCAAATAAATAAAATCTTAAAATCTTAAACCTTGGGGCTCACACATGGGACTCACTTCTCGAAAGACCACAGCGCAGCGGGGGGGACAGCTGATAAGAGTCACCTCTGAAAACAGGAAACAGTTTTTTAAATAACACATAATCAGTAAAATGTCCACAAAACAGAAACGGCGGCGCAGCAGTTAGAGCTTATGTTCACAGTAAGAAGATCCTGGGTTCGATTCCACCTCCAGGCCTTTCTGTGTGGAGTTTGCCTGTTCCCCCGTGTCTATGTCGGTTTCCTCCAGGTGCTCCAGTTTCCCCTGCCACTAAGAACATGTTTAAGAGGAATGAATGTAATGAGTGAGTGACTGGATGGTGTTGGTCGTGGGCTTTGATGCGCCAGTCTTTTTGGCGTCTCGCTTCCGTCATCACCGTGTGTGATTAAATGGTAAAATATTTGAACTCTCTGCAATTGTAAACCGCTTTTGTGGACTTTGGTCTGTAAGAAATGTGCTATATGAATAAACATTACTTACTTACAAGGTGGATGTCCATTGGCACAAGTGGCAGCTCTATTTTTGGCTTTATACAAACAGTGGCAGATCTGGATCCCAGCCGTTCCCTTGTGTGGTCATTGTTATGAAGTTTTTAATCCTCCGGTCTGGTCTCTCGGCACACACACCTCCCACCCCCACCTTCCTTCGTCTGTCCTCCTGGCTGCTTCGCAAATGATGCTGTTCGATGACGTCAGCAGATTTAGCACTCTGCTTCATAGAACTTTCTGGAGTTGTGTTTGAGCACTGCATGAAACGCAATGTTATGATTCAAGATCTTCTAGATCGTATTTGTGTTAAGAAAATATGATTACTGAATAATACTTTTTAAATAAACAATCGTAGTTTAAAGTTATATTTTGGGCAAGACACTTAACCCCACTTTGCCTGAAGCCCCCGCTAAAAGAGCATGGCTATACTCTCGCCAACAGAACAGCCTTCCTCCAGTGGACTCAGTGAATTGGGTGCAAATCTGATCCGACCCCCCAACCCAGAAATGGATATAGGAGAACCCGATGGATGGATGGGACTTTAATTGTAGATTTTAATGTTTATAATTTATGCTGGATGTGACATGGGTTGTGAAGTGCTTTGTGTTGCCTTGTGTGTGTACGTTGATTGATGGATTGAAAAAGCCTGCTGCTGTATGGTGAGAGACTCCATTGACTTCCTGAGAGCCTTTTGAATGTGGTCGTCCCACCCATCTCCAGGTGTTGCCAGTCCCAGTTGGCGCTCCCATTGGCTGGATTCTGGAAGGGGGAGAGAGCCAGCAGCAGCACACAAAAACACACAAGACTGGGGTCGTCATACGGTCGGCACTAGATCATATACGGAATCGGGACGAAACCGGAAGTAACAATCCTACTTTTGAATTAGTTTTAGACTAAAAAGTCCTTAAGTGGTGACTGGTTAAGTTTTAGGCGTCTGATTAAGATGGTTAAGTTTAGGGTTAAGGGTGGGTTGGGGTTATTTTATGGGAATGGCTGGTTAAGTTTAGGCATGAATAGGTAGTTTGTTTTATTTACTTCCGGTTCCGTCCAGATTCCGTATATGATCTAGTGCTGACCGTCGTCGTACCCTCCTCTTGGCATAACTACGACCAAGACTTGATGAAGGAGAATAGTTAAACCAATGACAATGGGCTTTAAGGGTTTGAAATAATTTTGATCAGGAAGCTGCATGGGTGGGTCCAACATGCATGTCTTCAAAAAGTCTCACTCTCTCTCTTCACATTTTGAAAGATAAGTGACACAATGTTGCCAAAGTAACATTTTGCAAATATATGAAGCAGCTGATGAAAATTTTTAGTGTAATACTAACAATATTTTATTACTATTGTTAGCTACTTTTAGAGTTGTATGTAGTTTTTTGGTTTTTTTATGGATGGATGTAATATTGTATCCATCTATCTATCTATTTATTTTTGTTTCATTGTTTTGAGATGGTTTTGCTAAAACAAAACATGCCCAATACTTATCTAATAATGTGTGCAATATGTGCCAATTCATGTTTACGTTTAAGATGTATGAAATATTGCCATATTTGACCGCTGTGTTTACACTAAACATGGCTCAACAACAAGAGTAGGTCAAAAGGTGCGTTGAAAGCAGAGTCAAAACAACACAGCAGCAAGTATAGTGTGAAAGCAAAAGGGCGATGGTTTTCGGCCACTGAGAAACCCCTAGATATACAGTACTCACACTCAACCTGATAAGACACAGGACCAAACATTCTCTCTTATTTTGTATAGAAGATATGCCAATATTTCTTTTTATGGATTTTAATTGTACTAAAACATAATGAGGAATTCTCCAATATTGCAAATAAAAGTGCATAGTTCATTCTTACAGCCACAATCTGGCCATATTTGATTTATCCACATTTTAGATTTTAATCCCGGTACAGTATTTCCCCTATAATGGTCTGTATACAGCCCTCTTCTTCTAGGGACTGAATAGTTAAAAGTATCATTTGTCTTTTGAATGAGTTCAGTGGGCTGTCACATTATTGATAATCATAATAATCATCCAGAGGTGACCCTTGCCTTAAGCATACATACAAGTTGTTGTTTTGTCTATTTTGGAGGTATGGAAACTAAGGCTTTGTTAAAATGGAAGGTCCTTCATGAGTCTAAGAATGTAGCGATCATATTCTCTAGTCCTTGTTGTTTGTTTCTGTCACAGCTCTGCACAGTAAGGCATCACACCCAGAGGACATCAAGGTGAATTACAACGATGATAATGTTCCTGGTGAGCACGTTTCATACCAGATTTACCCAAACCCTCAAAAGTATTTAAACGACCCTTTACTTTATATGTGCAGATGGTGGAGAACTTTAACAGAGCATCCAAGAAAGATGCAAACTGACACTCTTCTGAAACCGGATACAAGTAGAATTCCCTCTGGGTGTTTGACTGACAAATGTGTGGTCAATACAACAGTCAACGGTGTCGATGATCAAACCTATAGTCGTAATACTTTTCGTTTTATTCATGAATAAAGGTGAAGAACATTTTAGATGGTGATGTGGGATGTACATATATTATAATGAGTTGTTGCCTTTATTACTGGATGTCCTGCAGTGAATTTGGGAGCTTTGTTTTTCTGGCACAGCTGTGGTCTTGGCTCACTCGGGGTCCTGCGGGCTGGAGAAGGCGGTCGGGGAGGGACAGTGGTGCGCACCTCTTGAGTTTCTTCAAAGAGCCGCAGAGAGAGGGGGATCAGAGAACTGAGAGGCACATCCCCATGTTCCGAGCAGAGCCCCGCGCTTAGACTGGGGGGAAAATGCTCAAGTTTTTCAGTCCGCGGGATGACGAGAACGAGAGTCTGCTGGGAGCCATAACAGAAGGTAAAGTAATTGCGTTATTACGATGCTTTAAACTCGCTCCTTCAGTGCGCAGCGTGTGTCGGCATGTTGTCAGAGCAAATGCTGAGGCGGCAGTTCCTCCGTGCACAGCGCATCATCCGTGTGCGTGAGGGCAGCGGCTGTAGCAGACGCACCAGGGCAGGACCACAAGGCTGGATCACAGGGCTGGATCACAGGGCTGGACACGGCGACAGAGAAGCCCACTTCGGTGATGTAAGGAGCAGAGTGAGTGTCGCATTGCCACCGGCCGCTGCTCCTTAAACAAGAGCACGTGTGTTGTGGACTGCGTCACTGTCCCGTCAAGCATCCGCGCTGCCCTAATATCGCCTTTCTTCTCCTCAGGCTGTTACTACACTAATCACAGAAATGCGCATGACTAAGGTCACGTTTCCATAATGGTTGACTTTATATTGCAGATGGTGGACGAGCAGAGAATATACGCTGAGCTTCCATGCGATGACGTGCGCTCCTGGGTCACATATTCATGAATCAGTTTGGATGTGTCGCTCATTCAAAGTCGCTGTGGAAAAGACTATTAGTCCCTTTGGGTGCAGGCGTCCCGCTAATTACTGGGAGGCAACCAGGGACCACCATGAAGGGTGTTGAGACATGTTGTAATAGGATTTGAACAGTTTAGGTTCAGTGCATATTGGAAGTTTGCATAGTTTATTGTGCCTTGCTGCTGTCCCAATGTGAAAAGACTAAGGAATTCGTTTCTTTTGACAACCATATGCTACTATCCTCTTAACAGACGACCTAATTATCAGGAGATACAACCATGGGCTTAACAGAGGGAAATGTACAGAAGCTGCTGCCTGTGACAATATAAAGTATAATGAACACATAAATCACATTTTTGCACACATCAGCTCTGGGTGTCCAGAGACCTTGTGTTAATCAATGGTTTCTACAATCACCATCTGGGCCTGTACAAATGTACACAGCCCTCACAAGACTTACTGTATGGGATCAATTGGTTTCTAGCTCTCAAGGACATTTGTGCACTAATGAAACGCTGTCCGTGGTCATGATGGAAAGCTGTGAGGTAGTCATGTATCAGCATGTTCTTTTAAATGGCCACTTAGTGTGTGTGTGTGAATACAGGTATCTTCCCTAATTCGCTGTTATTAATGTCTAAGTGTGGCATGTGTGGCTGTGCGTGTAATTATGGTCTTTATGAAGCAGATGAAGGAGAAAATCCATCGCTTCAGGACACCAAGCAGCACTGGCTCAACAGACCTTGTCTGCTGGTGCTCAAAGATGAAGACATGCCCAAACCAAGAAGGCTTGAGTCGCCCTCTAAGACAGCAGAAGCAGAAGTCCCAGGAGATGACCAACAGGAAGCGAAAGCATGTGATGCTACGGCCAAGATGCTGCAAACCAAACCACACAAGTTGCTTAAGCAGCTGGAAGAGGGCAGCTGCACCATCACATCTGTTTCCAGTTGTTTTGGAGAGGCTGCTTCCCCCCTAGTGCTGAGTCCTGCTGAAGCCGCCTGGCCAGAGGAGGATGGGGGGGAGATGCAGCCCCAGAGGACGGCTTCTAAAGAGGATTCTGTGGTTGAGGAGAAAGAGCTGGAGGACAGCGGACAATGCGAGACAAGTGCTGAAGGTGGGTCGCCCTGTAGCAAGGAGGATGGCGAGGGGTCAGCCGCGGGGCACACACCAGCATCTCTGCAGGACCCTGATAATGATTCGAGAGAGGCCAGTCCAACAGAAATTCTATCCAGTGATCGAGCATCTGTCTTGGGGGATGTGGCCCCTGAGTGGGTCCCGGATGCTCAGGCTCTGGTGTGCATGAGATGTGGGATTCGGTTTACCTTCACAAAGAGGAGGCACCACTGCAGAGCCTGTGGGAAGGTACACAGTTTCTGACATTTAACTCCCCATAGACATTGTGATGTTTCTGATGGCCTTTACATGGAATGTTTTTTTATTTGTCAGATTTTCTGTGCACTGTGTTCCAATCTTAAGTTCAAGCTTATGCACCTTGATGGCAAGGAGGGCCGTGTTTGTGTGGCCTGCCACTCAACTCTGCTCAACAGTAAGTACTTATATTCTTGCTCAACATTAGCACAAAATGTACTCATCCTCCATTCACTAAAGGATTGCACTGTACTATCTACAAAGTATGAAATACAGCCTGTTCATCCGTACAGTAGATTTCATGCAACCGGACGGACTAGTGATAAGTGGCCAGAAATTATTCACAAGCCATTCTTTTTATCATCTGGACTCCTGTGAACATTCTCTGCAATGTTTGAAGCAGTGTTCAATTCGAGCCAGATCCAGAACCATTCATCTGATATTTAGGAAATGTCTAGTATTGCCTAATGTATTTCTGGTGTATTTAGTATTTTTTTTTGAATCAGATTAGTGAATCTAATCACTGTCAAATAATGGTTTGGGAAAATATTTGGAATGTTTGGATTTCTTTCCACACAAAAAAAAAAAATAGAACATGAACACAACCTATTTATTGTGGAAACTAAAGGAACTCTTTCTCATAATTTCACACAATTTCTATCAGGAACTCCTCCAAAAGGAAAGCGGAGGGTGTGGTTTGCAGACGAGATCTTGAGAAGTAAGCAGACTGAGTCCGCTCCCACCACACCGGTGCGAGGGCCTATGCTTTCCCCCCTAATGAGGCGCACACCGGCCCCTGACAAAAGCCCTGTGAGCTCCCCTCAGCTCACGAGAGCCTCCAGGGCTCATGGGATGGCATCTAATGTAAGTTTGAGTTTGCTTTGTAGTTTTCTGTTGAATTACACGGGCAGTCACTGGCTTGTCTTGAAGGAGGCCTGTAGTTCGTATGGATGGGGCACTGCGGCTTTGGTGGGCTGCTCCGTCAACCTCATCCCACTGAATGGTCTTCCACCTATCCTAACATCCACAGGTGTCAAAGGAGGTAAGGAGCAACCACAAACATGAATATTGGAGTGGGCATCTTTAGTTTGGAGATGCCATACATACAAAACTGCTTTGGTTCTTGTTTGAAGACAACTACTGGTTGAGATGTAATTACCTTATTCATGTTTTGGCTGCAAAGCAATGAGTCGTCAGCAACATTATCAGCTAATGTTACTTCCTGAGCAAGCGTGGTCAGTCTGAATGACCTGACCACGCCCCGTCTCGCCCGGTGGTCTGTGGAAGAGGGTCTCCCATGAGGAGGTAGGCTTCGTTGTCATGGTTGACGGTGTTGTTTCCCTGCTTTCTGATAAAAACCTGGGGTCTTCTCAATGTTTCTGTTTTGCATTGTGTGGAAAGCGAATCCTGTTTCTCCTATGTAAGTTTGTTTTTGCAAATCCTGTGAAAAAGACCGCTGCAAGCAAAATAACCACATTATGGATTGAGACAGGGCTAAGATCATCAGATCTGAAAGCAACAGTTTTAAACACTGGATTGATCAATGCCAGATCCAAGTCCAATACCACAAAAGTACAAAAGTAAAATAAAATAATCTAACCAAATGCTCAGTCCCCTCTTCACTAGAGATACAACAATAATGGTACATTTCCTTTTTCATAAGATTGTAGAAAAAGCTTAATGCTTCTGTTTGCAATAATTAATACAAATATATCAAATATTCCTACTAAATCCAGATCCTTAACATGAATGGGAAGCTGATTCCACAGTAAAGGATCTTGGTAGCTAAATGCTCTGCCACAGACAGTGCTTTTACCTTACCTTAGGAACCACCAGAGGTCTGGCGTTTTGTGAGCGCAGTGCTCGGTTTGGTTGATACGACACTAACGTGTCTTGAAGATAAGAAGGAGCCAAGCCATTTATGGCTTTGTATGTTTAAAAGAAGTATTTTTAACTTCATTTTATACTCCACGGGAAGCCAGTGGAGTGATTTTAACACCGGAGTTATGTGCTCCCTCCTTTTGGTGCCTGTTAAGATCCTTGCTGCTGTATTTTAAGCGAGCTGGAAGCTTTTCAAAGAGGTTTTAGGGCACGCTGCCAATAAAGCGTTACAGTAGTCAAGCCTTGAGGTGACAAAAGCGTGGATTCGTTTTTCCGTGTCACTTTTAGGAAGGATATTCCTGATTTTAGTGATGTTCTGCAAGTGGAAACACGCCGTTTTAGTTGCTTGGCTTATATAAGCCTTGAAGGAGAGCTCTTCATCGAAAATGAATCTCTCAACACTGAGAGATTCCTCACCTCAGTGTTGCTGGGTACAATACTGAGCTCCGTAAACAGGTGGGAGGGGTTGAATACTTTTGCAGATTGAAATGATTGGATCTGAGTATGTAGTGCGCCCGTGTCTGTCATTAGCATTTAGCCTAGCCATCTCCTTTGCCGCTAACAGAGCCCGTGGGAAGTAGCGCCACAATCTTAGCCAGCGATTACATTTGCTAAACATTTCTCTTGCTCCGGCTTCAATTTCTTGATAGAACCAGACCGGATTACTTTACTATCACATTCTTCGCCATTGCCAAACTACAACCTGCCCGTTTGGCGCAAACTCTTGACGTTACCCACAACTAACTACAACACCCGCCTCCCACGCTCGCTGATTGGTCGGATGGAATTCAGCCGATTGTAATCGCAAACACAGGGACCAGACCCAGACGATACATGCAGTGATCTGGTTTATCATAGTCATAGTTTTTATTTTCATGCACACATTGATTTTTCTAATTTCTTAATAGCATTTGCATGATTCCTTCTGCTTCAGATTACACTGTGGAAGAGCCCTCTGAGACATTGCTCATTCAGGAGTTGGAGAGCGGACGACCAAAACCACTGGTGTTTGTGCTCAACGCTAATCTTCTTGCTATGGTCAAACTGGTCAACTGTACGTTTTATAAGTATTCCAATCATTGTAAATCAGCAAAAGACCATTACTTCTGCTCTTCTATATTCATGCCTGTGTTTCTGACCTTGTCCTAGATGTGAACCGGAGGTGCTGGTGTGTGACCACCAAGGGGCTGCACGCGGTGGGCCAGGACGAGGTGGTGGTGCTACTGCAGTGTTCCCCAGAAGAAAAGACCTTCCCCAAAGACATCTTCAGCCACTTTATCCAGCTGTACCGCGACAGCCTTACAGGTATGACATGAACTGTGCAGCAATGATGGAAGATGATGAGAGCCATGAACTGATCGAGGAAGTATTGATTTTAAGTCACTCGTGAATGTGTCATCCAAACGAGGATCCAAGGTGAAAAACCAATGTCTTCTTACGTCACAGATTGGACTTGAACTTTTCAACCTTTTTGAATAGGACTGTTCCAACATTAATGTCCAATCAACAGTGGTCTAATGTACATTTGAAGTTAACTGCTTCAGTATCGTGGTGCTTGTATGCATGAGTCTTAAAATCAAAAGAAAATATTTAATCTTTTGAGAAAAGGGTTTTCAAAATACTAGATGCCCATTTCAAATCTGTGCTAATCAAACTTCTGAATGCTTTGGAGTACAAACAGTATGTGCCTTTGGCCCCTTTCGGCCCCCTTCGACCACCAACAACCATTCAATAAAAAACCAGACTCATACTAGGCAATGTTAGTGAAGTGTCTTGGCCAAGGACACAACAACAGTTTGGACCCTGGTGTTCCCAGAGGTCTCCCATCACTGCACTGACCAGCCAGCTTTCACATGCAGATGGTGCCAATTTATTAGGAATTTAATAGTTCTTTTTGACCTTCCACAGACGTTTTTTGACTCAAGTCTATCAAAATGTTTTTAATCAAACAACCAAATGATGAACATGTTCTCCAGGAGCATCAGTTGAGCTTTGTTTTGGTCAAATGTAGAAATCCCATATTCACAGATTTTTAGGAATCTAAAGAACTAATCGATTGATCTTAAAAATAATCAGCCAAATTATTGATTGATAAAATAATCATGAATTATTGTCCTATAAACTTAGAAATGGTAACAATCTGTGCACAGACAAAACTTCCAATCCTGCCTAGAGAGATTTACAACTATAAAAACGAAAAACATAAATCCTAGTTCCATTATTCCGTATTTGAGGTGACACTGTAAACTTGTGGCGTGTGTGTCCTTAGGAAAGGTGGTGAAGCACTTATCCCTGTCCCTGTTCGGGAGCTCGTTTCTGGGCAGTGCAGACAACGCAGGCCTCCTGTACGTGCGAGCCACTCACCAGTCTCTGCAGGGCCTACCTCTGCCCAACCAGCCCTACCTCTTCGGCCTGCTGGTGCACCGCGCGGAAGTGTCCTGGGCCAAAGCATTCCCCCTGCGCCTCATGCTGCGTTTGGGGGCTGAGTATCGCTGTAAGACATGGAATATTAAGTTTTTTTTTTATTTATTTTTTATGTTATTGTTCTACTTGTGTTTTGTTTTGCAGTTTACCCATGTCCTTTGTACAGTGTGCGATGTAGAAAGCCGCTGTTCGGGGAGATTGGTCGTACTATAATGAGACTGTTAGTTGTAAGTATGGCCTTTTATTAGTCAATCAATAAAAACGTATATTTCACAGAATAAAACAAACAAACAATAAAATAATATGACTTTGGGCATAAATGTTTTGAAAATGGGTTGGATGAAGCAGACGCTAGTACAGCGGAAAAAAGATACCGATATGAGTATATTTGAGATTTCTGAAGAAAAACTGAATTCCAAAGCAAATGCAAATAAAAAGTGTGCGTGCTTCTTTTTTTATACTTATTACACTACAATTGGTGTCTTACTCTGTTTTCCACGTTGCATGATAAAGATTTTATTTTTTTCTTTCTAAAACACCAACACATAATCATTTTGTCTTTTTAGGACTTCCGAAATTATCGCTACAGCCTTCCATCAGTACCGGGCCTCACTGTGGATCTCGAAGCTCAGCGGACGTGCATTAAGATACCCACCAGCGGATATAATGAGGTGTGTCCTATTAAAGATTACAGTAAGGTTACGTTAATGTTTACTTTATTGTCCATTATTCACCATATGAACGTTTCCCGTGTGTACCTCCACATACATACTTTACTTTTTGCTCAAAATGTGCTACAAATGTGTATTTCTCCTCATAGTTACAGTTTATTGTAGCTAGAAGATTATTTTTTGACCATACATGCATGTGAAAGCCTGATCCCATTAGACGTCAGAAGCTAAGCAGGGCAGGTGTGATGGGAGACCTCTGGGAACACCAGGTGGGGGCCACATTGGGGTGTGTGTGTGTGTGTGTTGGTTTGAGGTTACAGTGGTTGAGTTTTTTTAACCCAACACAATCAGAATATTGGAATAATCAGTCCAGAGAAATGAGCGGGGATAGGTGATAAGTTACATTTCATGAGCGCTGCAGTCTGAAATGCAGGACATCACAGGTTGTCCTGCATTTCAGGTAACACAATTGGAAGTTTAGAATGTCATATAATATACATGATATAATGTACGTGTTTTCTCTGTTAGATGATGAGGGCTCTAACAAAGTCTAATGAGCACGTACTGGCCATCGGGGCGGGTTTTAACGAAGGTGCAGACTCCCACCTCATCTGTGTGCAAGGAGACGACGGCCAGTACCAAACCCAGGCAATCAGCATCCACAACCAGCCCCGCAATGGTAGGTGTCACATGATGTACGGGAGCTTTTATTTAGTGCTGAAAATTCAGTTGAGGCTGAAGCAAAGCGCTGAAGTCATGGAAATAAAAGGGCAAAAAGAGAGATGCAGCTGGGGTGAATACTGCAGTTCCCATGTTCACCACAGGAGGTCAGTATGTGATCTATTTACACCATGGCTCTCAGCGCTTGTAACAAAGACAGAATGCTATACCATTAGGGTTGCCAACTTGAGAACAAAAATATAAGGGACACCATTTGGGTGGATCGGGTTGAGCACTTTTTAGTCCTAATTTCTATCTACACAGTAATCATGGAATTTCATAATCACAGTTTTTAGAATGTAATTGACTACATATAAAAAAAAAAAAATCTTTAGTCAAAAATGAATAGGTGGAAGACAAATGCTCTAACATACATTATTTATGTACGTTACAGTAAAGACCATTTACTGTAAAAGCAAATAAAAAAAGAACAATATATGTATTCATTTTTTTTAAACTCACAAATGTTGAAATCAAAGTCTGTAGCAGTTAGATATGGTCATTATTTATATTGTCTGAGAGTTTTCTGCGTGTACATGGCTTCAGTAAAAGCTATTGTTCGTTTACAAAGCTGGTCTGGACATTTGTTGACGCTCCCTAAGCGCTTTTCTCGGCGCTTGCAGTGCACTGGATTCAGAGGATTTCTCTGCATTAAAACAGCACATTGGATTTGAAAAATCAACGTAGAGATGATCATTTCGGCAGAATTACTTTTGTCTAACAAAGTAGCTTTTGTGAACAAATGACCGCGAAAGTCCGAATCTGGGAATATGACGCTACTTTACCAAACTTCTGCCGTGATGATGCTGTTGGCAATTGTCAACATCAAACCAATGTATGTGATCAAGCCTACGCCCCCTTTGACACTGATTGGCCGAAAGTTAGACGCTTAAAGGGCCCATATCACGGTTTTTGACTTTTCTCTGCTTTAAACATGATTACAATGCTAATTGGCCTTCATACACAAGCCCACAGTAGTTTATTCATTGATTCTGTCAATCTTTTGTAAGAGAACAATCTGTCTCCTTCCCCAGCTTGAGGCACAGAAACGCTCGGGTCCACTTCAGTGACGAAAACCACACTGATGACGCGCATGACGCGCATGACCCCGTTTGCTTTGTATTTAAAGTAGTTGTTAAATACTTTTGTCAAAATGGGGTAAAAAATACCCAATTAGTATGCTGTTTTTTGTCAAAAATAATAAAAATTAAAATAAATTAAAAGCCGGCGGGAGGTGATTGACGGATCAAAACAGCGAATCAGAGCGCACAGGCTCCGGCTCCCGAGTCCAGCGTCTGTGGTCTGGTCTCGCGGACACCACATAGAGCTGCTGTTTTTATGCTTTTGTCAGCAACTAAAAGTGTTAGGATCACGTCAACTTGAATGAAGTGTGTTATGGGTGTAAATATCCATCCATCCATCCATTTTCTACCCTTTAATCCATTTCTGGGTCAGGGGGGTGGCAGTCAGAGATGCCACCCAAGTCTCATAGCACCAGCCCCTCACTGACCCTCTGTAGGTGGTGAGTCCACAGGAGGAGTAAATATGTGACGCACTATTTGGCCCTAAGAGGAAGAAAGCGGCTCGACTTTTTTCATCTGTTCATCTCATGGATCTATTATAATACCGGTTCATCTGCGACACTTCACTGAGACTGTTCCAGAACTACAGGGACAATGGAACTGGACTTACTCAAAAGCTGATCTGGAAACACGTTATTCCCACGGTAAAAGACGTAACTCGGACCCCCTCGATCTGTAAGTAGTGACGCTAACTCGCTGTATACTTCTGTAAACTAAATAACTAGGGTCTGATTGTGCATCGAGGACATAGGGCTCCATGTGACGGATTGTCATTGTTGGAAAAAGTTTATTCTTATGTATGAAATGACTAAGTACATGTGATAAACGACAAAAGCGTGATGCTACGTCAGCGTGCGGGCGGGGGGAGGCGGGCTCACAGGCAGAGGAGCAGACTCTTCTCTGGATCAGCTCGTTTGAGTCGAGGTGACGTCACCTCTATACAAGAGATGGCTCTAATCTCACAAGCTTTGATTGTTGTGTGGTGTATCATACACATTAATATCACACATGTGCAGAGGACTGAGTGTGAAACATGAAGAAAAGCGTGATATAGGACCTTTAAACTGTGATTACTGTGTGTGTGTGGAGATATGAAGATACATTTAAAGAGTATTCATACCTCATGAACCTTTCTCCATTCATTCTGCCTCGATCACAAACACTTATATATTATTCCTGGTCCTTCATATTTTTGTGAAGGACCACCATAAAGTAGTAGAGACAAGTGAATTGAAAGCAAAATATTATAATGTTTTTTTTGTTGTTGTTTAAAACCTATGTTTAAAAACTATGTGTGGCTTGCAAAAGTATTCTCCATGAATTCATATTTTGTAGAACCCTCTTTGGTTGTAGTTACAGACTGAGCTTGGGTAATGTTTGTAATACCTAACCTGGCTGTAAACGTCCCCACACGTCCTCCCTGACCTCTTTGGTGAGTGTTTACCAATATTCTCGTTAAGGCCAAAAGCTGTAATCGTGCTGAGATTAGATTACACATCCATCAATCATCAGGAAACTTCTAAAGGAAATTGGTTGGACCCAGAGAAAAGGGAGGTTAATACTTTAAACAATAAATAAACAATACATTAATTATTACATTTATCATTTTTCTTAAGCATTAAGTTATCTTCCACTTAGGCCTTTCACAAAAATAAATAACTTGGGGTATAAGTAATCAAGCTACTGTAAATTTTCCTCCTTTTAAAATGGAAACATTACAATAAAGTAGATCAGAACTATTATCTTTACATATCTTACATATATTTCTTATTTGGCAACATTGGTTTAACATTACGTGCCAGAATTCCACAATACAGGACAGAAAGGAATCTGTTTTAACGTTGTCTGAATAAGTGCAGTTTTGAAACAATATGGTCTCAGAGGACTTTTTGTTTGGTCGACAGAATGTTTATGGTTCTGCCTACATAATAAATCATTCACAGTGATCGTTTTATAATGTGTCTTTTTCTGTCTTTACAGTCACTGGATCATGCTTTTTCATCTTCAGCAGTGCCCTTAAAACCTCCACAGGATACCTCGCTAAGTCCAGTATTGTAGAAGGTAGGACGTTTTGCATACATATTCAAAATCAATATGGGCCATGTTGACTTAAAGAAGACATATGCAAAACCTTTTATGGTGCTTTCAGACCGCAAATGCTCAAACGCTGAAGCCCCGCTCACCAGACGCGCATTCTCTAGTTTTCAGACGCAGGGGTCTTCAGACCAGAGGTCCTGGCCAGCACCGGAAGTGGCGGAAGTAGCAGGCCGGCTCTGATGCTAACAGAGTTTATCTAGCGGCTTCTCGTGTAAAGATCTTCTCCAATAATGCAGCTTTGCAGCGTGTCTGTGTTCAGAGACCTTCCACGGACTTTATATAACAGTAGTATGTGTTCACGGAGGTGCACAATACGTTTATTTTATCATTAAACGGTATTTCCGCATCGACGAACATACTCAAAGCAGTTGCATAAAGTCACGGGAGCATGACAACGCATATGTTCACAAGCACACAGTCCCCCATTGTCGACCCTGGTTTAAGTCCTGGTTTTAAGTCGAGGTGTAGCTCCTGTTTTGGCTGTTTACAGTATGTTCAGTCTGCTCGGTCAGACCATAGGGCACTGTCCGGTTTCCGAAATGTGCTAAAAATAGCTCAGATGACTGCGCATGCGCGCATGTTTCGGACAAACATTGTGTACGACTCGTTGAGTTCTACTGTGTTCTCCTCATACGCGTGTGTATTTATTTGGGCTAAATCATTGAATCATGGTGACAACAAAACACTGCAGTTATGGTGCTTGTCGGAGCGATTTCAGATACTCTGAAAAGGACTATATGAAAGTAACATTCAACCCGTTCGTTAAACCACAACATCGGACCAGACCAGGACCAGACCAGGACCAGATCAGACCAGGTGGGTGCTTGTGGTCAGCAGAATTTCTCTCATGAAAAGGTTAAAAAGGGCACATGTTTTTTCAAAACACTTCGCTGGACCAACTGTGGAGCATCCAGATCCAGTCCTAGCTACGTTTAGCTGGGACTGGATCTGGACCGCTGTATCAGGTCCGTCTGAGCTCTTCTGAATGTAGTTAGCACAAACTTTCTCTTTACACCATTTACCCCCATCAATCCATATTAGTATTGTTTGTCCTAATCCAGAAAGTATACAATTCTCACACCTGAAGAAAGATGAGAGGGATTTTTTTCAACTTTGTGTCTGCTTATTATACGGCTTTGTACCAATTGAACACACAAAATAAACGTCATTCACTACTCATGCCGAAAGGTTTATTTAATGAGTGCAAAGAAAATAGTTCCCAAAGGTTTTCCCGTGGCAGGCGAGTAACAGTGAGGATAGTTAACCTAAAAGCGATCGCTTTAGTCGCATTAAAAAAGTATTTTTGTCATGAAAACCTGAACAGTTAATTCTGAAAACCTCCGTGCACTTGTGTTATGAATGTGTATAATGTATTCTCCCATTAACATTTAAATGTGTTGATTGATTGTCATTTGCGTTTACTGAGTGTGGCTAGCTCTGATAGTTTCTCTCAGAGACAGTGGCGTAACCCGTTGTGATCATGGATTTATTATAATATCAGCTGACTGTAGCTAACTAATGATCAAACTAATTACAAAGTGGATAGTGCAAAAACAACTTGATAAATGGAAGTTAATCACAGCAAAACAAACAAAGAAGGCGCTAGCATTGCAATTTAAATGACTAGATAATGTTAGCATAATCCTCACCATTACCTTTTTATCAAATCAAACTTTCTACCAGTTACTGGAAGACCACGACATTCAAGCCAACGTTATAATTGGTCTACACTATGATCCCTGATGGTTTGATGGTGGAATTTTGCCCCTGGTTTATCATTTTCGTCTAAAGTGACAAGTGGTATTTGATTCATTTCGGCAGTGTTTGTCCGAAACATGTGGGCGGGAGTTGACAGGCGGCGGGGGCGTGTCTTAGTGACGTCATTTAGATAGTTCGCTATTAATGTCCCCGTGACCACTTTGCTGACTCTGATTGGTCGCTGCACGAACGTCCTGAAGAGGCTTGAGCAAAGTTTATCTCCTGTGGGCGTCTATTTTCTGCTCCTGCTCCTCCTCTTCGACTTTCCCGCGCAGTCCGTGCGTCTTTACTGAACAGTCCGTTCGTGCGTCCCGAGATGTTTGTGCGTTTTGACATTTGCATTGAAAGCCGACGCAACGCATAATCCGGTCTGAAAGAACCATTAGAGAACAGCATAGTTCCTCATCAAGTACAGACCTTGAGTTGTTTTTAGATCCATCCACGCTAATATCAGGATCGTCTGGCACAAGCATGTAACTCCGTCTGTTTACAGTCACACCCTGGGTTTGCAGGCGGTCATTTTCAAATTTTGAAAAAGAGAACAAGCTGAAAGCATTTTTTTACCCTTCATACTTGTTTCAACCTATAATTGTCTCCTTAAGGTATTATTTCACATTCTAAAACAGGACCTGGCAAAATACTGTACATAGTCTCATTACAATCTGTAAATGCCAAAAATATTATACAATATTTATTCTTCAAGCCAAAGTGTCTTTTATTTTTCGATGCTTCAGACCTCATTTCAACATGTGCACATTGAAATTAATGTTTGTTCAAGCATGCCAACCTGTCGATGTTTGTGCCCTTTCCCCATTCTGCCTCCTCCCCCCAGATGGCCTCATGGTGCAGATCACCGTGGAGACCATGGCGGAACTGAGGCGGTCTCTCCGGGAGATGAAAGACTACGTTGTCACCTGTGGAAAGCTGGACCAGTCAGAGAGCCAGGAGCTTGTTTGTGTGCAGTGGGTGGAGGAGAAGTGCAAAGTGAATAAGGGGTAAGTGTGTGCTTATAGATTTAGCAATAAAGTGTAATTAGCCAAGCCTTTTAACTGCTTCAAATGCCATCTTTGTTCTTCCAATACCCCCACATGATCAATTCCCCACAGAATTATAAGTCCGATTGATGGTAAATCCATGGAGTCCATTAATAGTAAGAAGTTGTTCCATAAATCGGAGTACAAAGAGAACGGAAAGTTGATCAGATGGACTGAGGTAAGAGCTGTTTTGGATAATTATAGTAATCAATGAGTTTTCAACCGTACAATTTCCCTGGTGGAGGACCTGATTTTTGTTTGGGTTTATCTGAATGTTTCCAGGAACGCTCTACAGAACATTATTACCCTTACATGTCATTTCAGCAGAGAGGAGAGCCAAACCAGGGTTAAGAATTAACATGTTATACTGCACATTACCATACATTTTACCTTTAAAAAACCCACACATATTTCATCAACCAATAAAAAAATAACTCAATCAAATCAAACTGCAAACTGTTAAAATGATGCATCCCTTTTTTCCAGTCAAATTGAACATACCTGTTTGAAGTCAAAACTTACAAATGAAATATAGCCCAAAACTTTTCTTAAAAGTTCATAAGGATTTAAATGCATTGAACCCTTTTACATGTTCTATTACAGCTCCCTAAATCCTTTTCAGTGAAATGTTCTTTGATTGTGAAAGGGGAAGTGTTCAAACCCAACCTTTACTCTACAGTCTGCTGTGGCAACATCCAGACACCAGCAATAGCCTATTTTATATTATTTACCCACTTCAGAGTTTGATTGATCCCACCCAATTGTTTTTACTCCAAAGGGTTTTAAAACCGATTCAATTGGATTTGTATATATCTAACCAGCCTATGGGGGTTTAGTTCATATGCAAAAACAGATAAGTGCCATGGAAACACAGCGGAAAAGCTTACAATTTTCTCTTTACCAAATAGTTCTGTGAAAAGCCCGATCGATTTTAGTGCCATACAAGTGCCATACAAATACAGTTTCAACCCTTCTTGAGCAAGTGTTGAAGATTGTCACTAGAGGAATACAACAATTGGACAATTTTTTTAAACTGAGAATGAACTCTTCGTCTGCCACTATAAAACACTCAGAGGATCCAGACTTTTGAGTTCTGTACCAACCTTATAGACAGACACCGCCGAATTCAGATTAGATAATGTTCAAGTTCGTCAACAGTCTATACTTAACATCTCTGTACTCCATCAGAAAAGGTAATGTCATGCACCACTAAATGTATCTTTTGTGGTTGCATTTGTAGGTGTTTTTCTTGCAAAGGGGCGACCAGGGCAAAGGGGATGTGCCAGAGAGCGCGGAGCACAGCCGGCTCACTGAGCGAATAGCCCGAGCGTTCTGTTTGGCCTTATGTCCACACCTGAAACTGCTCAAAGAAGACGGCATGGCCAAACTAGGACTACGCGTCACATTCGAGCCTCAACAGGTCAGACACAAGCTTCGTCCATAAAGTGTCGACAAATGTGATTTAAAAACTAAATAATACGTGACAAATCTGCTAAGTGGTTGCCTTTAGCTCCAATCACACCAGCAAGAATTATAAGGGCATCAAGCTCCATCACATTAGCTGGAGAGCCTTTGGAAACTGGACATTTGAGATCATTTTAGCCACAGTTTCTGGATTGGAGAGGCCTGGACTCTGACTGGGCCATATTTCAAACTAGAGATGGTTCACTGAAGATGACAGTGTTAGTTTTCCACCGCACATTGTTTTGCATTCAGACCAAAAAGTGAAGTTTTAGTCTCATCTGACTCAGCATCTTCTTGCTTGGCTTTGTCCGGGTTTATTTGAACATTGACTTTCTATTGACCACTTGTCCATAAAGGTCAGATTTGCGTAGTGTGAGTGCTACATTTGCCTCATGTACTGATTCCTCCAGAGGTCTGCAGCTCCTCCTCAGTAACTATCAGCCTTGGGTTACATCTCTGATCAGTGTTACTGTGGGCAGATAGCCATGTCTTGGTAGATTTGCAGTCATAGCTTTTGCTCCCAAGAGATTTAATTCTCACCACACATTGTGACGTTTCGGGTCACTACCCTTCATCAGACATTAAGTAAAGCAGGCTACACACCTGTATATATACACAGTGATGACAGGTCACATGACTCACTCGATGTACAAACAATTTCATCAAAATATGTAATCAGCTAACCCTCAACTACAGTATATGTGGCTTAGCTTTAAGGTCTGCATTCCAAACACAAACGAATGGCCAATCCTCATTTTGGTACCTTCCAAATATAACTATATGAATATGTAATTATGTGAAATTGTAAATCTTTACAATCATTTGTAAATTTTTACCAAAAAATGTCAATTTGTTAATATGTTTGTGCATATATTTATGCTGTGGTATATATTTATGCTGTGGTATCTTGTCATCACATCTCAGGGGGCTAGACCTCATTGATTACATCTTTTGATGAAATTGTTTGTACATCGAGTGAGTCATGTGACCTGTCATCACTGTGTATATATACAGGTGTGTAGCCTGCTTTACTTCATGTCTGATGAAGGGTAGTGACCCGAAACGTCACATTGTGTGGTGAGAATTCAAATCTCTTGGAAGCAAAAGCAGAGTCCTCTCCATTTTTCTCACTTTTCTATTTTTGACTTTTTTGCACGCTACTTAAACTTAGATGTGCGCATCAAACTCACTCTTGCTCAGATCTGCAGCCATGCCATACTCTTTCCATTCCTGGACGATGGCTTAAACAGTGCTCTGTGAGATGTTCAAACCTTGGAAAATGGTTTGTATCACTTCCCCATGCTCTTAACACTTCACCCGTGACCTATCCGGTGGGTTCCTTTGGCGTCATGCATCTATTTAGTGACCAATTATTCTCTTATCAAACCAATGAAGCCATCACCGGATAAAAACTGTGCTCACATTGAGATAAGATTACACAAGTTTGGACATTTGACCAGTCCACATGATATTTCTAAAGACAATTGGTTGAACTTGGATAAAAAGCTGAATACTTTTGCAAGAGAACCCTTATAATATTTAAATTATGTAAACGTTTATGACTGTGATGCCTTCTTTATTCAATACGTTGGTGTAATTTCATCTAAATTTGAATCTATTGTAAAAAGATTATAACTTCAAACGTCTCGATTCTAAATGGACTGCTGATTTTTTTTTTGAGACAATGTTCATTTTAACTGCATGAATTAACATTTGGTGAATTGAATGTCATAATGCAATCTGAAATCCAGAAATTGAGCAGCGTAGTCTATAATGAGGAACACTCCAAGCTGTGACTTCTTTCAAATTAATGTCTGGTTTGTTTTTTTGCATTTCAGGTGGGATTTGTGGCTGGGAGCAATGGTCAGCCACTCCCAGCGCAGTACCTCAATGCTCTGGACAGCGTGCTCATCCCGGTCATACACAGCCGGGGCCGGAAAAGAAGCGACGAGTCTATAGTGATGGAGCTGATTTTTTACATACTAGAAAATGTCACTTAAGGGCTGATTTATGTCTTTCTAACCAAAACATTTGCGCTGGTTTAAGGGCAATAGAAACCGCGCAGTGAAATGTCAGATGGAGTTGGTTTTGGCCATTCTCATCCACATTGACAGACAACACTGTGGTTTTGTGAGGCCACTCTGACCTTTTGACAATCAGGGTTTGCATGAAACTAAAAAGGCCTTTAGATCAGGGCAACACACTGTAGACAACCTCATCCGTAGCTCAACATCGATAAGTTTATAACCTTTAACTGAGGTAACAACCTCGAACCTAATGCAAGGAGAAAATTGAATGAAAAGTGAGGTGCTATATGCAGATTTGTAGCTAATTCTACGCACACTGACCGAATGCTTTTGAATGTTTCTTACTGGATGTATTTTACTGACTGCTACTGCAATGCATACCGAGCTTGAAATTAAATATTGCAATGAGAAAGTGAGTGAACGTTTGGAAGTCAATTTATCACAGGGCCCACCATCAACATTCAATGCCAATCAAAGTTTTGTTTAATTATGTAAAATTCTGTATATTTTCAATTTATTTGTAAGCATTATTACTACAAAACAAAATAACTGACCCACTCTAGAATCAAGGGAGTAAGCTTTTTAGATGGATTCTGTTCCATTATTAGTAGTTTCAAAGTGTCTTGGCCAGGGCTCCTTTGTAAAAGAGGTTCTTAATCTCAATGGTATTTTTCCTGGTTAAATAAAGGTTAAATAAAATAAAAAGTAGGGCCCAGTTAATTTGGGAGAAAGTGTTTTAATTTATATTTAAGTGTCTTGATGGATTTTTTTTTCTTAATTTAAGTGTCAACCTTTAGTTATAGACAAATTTCATAATTTAACTTTCTTTAATCCTGGTGCAATTTTTATTTGAAAAAACCCCAAAAAACATGAACTTTTATAAATAAATTTTTAGGGCAAGGCTCGCAACAGACTAAAAATGATTCTGGTTGAAAACACTGACCTCGTCCTTTTCAACAACAAAAGCTAATGGTGGACGAGTTGCAGCTACAAAAGGACAGTATCAAATGTTAGTTTTAGTAAAAGGCATCACTGTAGGAGTCTGACCTTGAACGCAGTGACTCCGGGGACAGATCTGCCGTCACACGTTCTCTCAGGCTCTCTCTGTTACAACCACAATGGGCCCCTTGTTCCTCTCCACCTCCTTCTACATACTCCACATACTGTAGCCTGCAAGCAAATTCTTCTGAGTGTAACAAAGCATGCCGTTTTCCTCAGAAATGTCAGCAGATAATCCTAATTACAAGCTTAAAGTCGAGTAACCACATGTCAAAAAATATATATAAAATTGAATTTATTGGCATTTCAATTAAATATACAACATTCAAAAAACATACCAATACAATTAGATTTTTTTTTTGCAAAAGTATTTACAAAAGCGCTTCAAGTTTTATATAAACTGTTCAGTCATCTGCCCGCATGGGTCGAGAAGACATGGGGTCAGATAAGTAGTGAGAGTTAAAGGCCACCAGTGTGAGACCGAAAGAATAACGGCTGTTCCAACATCAGTGAAGAAATATTAAAATAACTATCTTCTCTTCATTTATTGTGTTCTTGTGTGGCTTCCCAAACTAAAAGCAAAGCCCGAACACGCGAGGGACCCCGAGTCTTCCACCACATTCAAACATTAAAAATAAAACCGAAACACAGCCACGTTATTCTTTATTTTACAGGCTTCTGCAGTCATTTGTTTCGTGTGTGTTTATGTCCAGTGACGTTAGGCCTTCTTCATTTTGCCCATGTAGGGGGCCGAGCCGTTCAAAGTGCCGTTCTCGTGGGTGAAGCCGTTGCTGGTGCCGTTTTCTTTGAGTTTTGTGCCGTTTTTGAGGTGCTTCCCGTTGGCGTGAGCTGCTGTGCTTCCGTTCGGCTGAGATGGAGCGACTTGTTTGGGCAGGCGCTTCCCCTTCACGTAGGCCTGGATCCAGAAGTTGGAGAAGAGAACGAAGAAGAATGTGCCGTACATCCAGATGAGGTGAAGGACGAGGGGGAACTGGTAGTCGCATCGGTCCATGAAGTACCATTGAGTGGCATGGAGCGAGATGAGCACGAACTGAGTCTGTCACAAAAGACACATGGTTACTACCAACACCAGGACCACCTTAAGGCACCCATAGGCCAAGGGTACAGACGCCCCAACCATTTTAATCCTACATGTATCCAAATAAGTCCAGGTCTACTGCAGGAACACTTGGGAACTCTTATGGTTTAGTTATAGACAAAAACAAAAATTCTAATAGATCCTTGACTGCGGTAGGCCCCAGGGCTTCAGCCACTCTCCACCTTTTGGATAAGGTGGCCATGACTACTATTGCCAATTCATGTACGGTCAGCCATTTAGACACTTGAGCATGTGGAACTTCGCCTTGGGCAAAAAGCGGCATTTTGAACCAGGCTCGAAAGCAGTTTTTGACTTTTGGAACGTCGACAGAGTTTCATGGTGTGTTTTCGCTTCGGCAGTCAGAACTACAAGAGTGGAGCCAGAAGGTCAATTTCTAATTTCCATTGACCACAAACTAGGTATCAGCACTGTTGAAAGATAAGGAGATATTCTTGCTAAATTCAGATAAGGATCATTTTAAAATATGGATATTAGGAGTTAACACCATTTACTGTGAGAATCAGCTGAGCACATGTGCCACTAGTGTTTGCCGTTTACAAACAGTAAAACTGAACCATTGTTATTCATCATTATATTATTATTATTTTAAAATATGTGTTCTGCAGATTCTCCATTTCCCTTGATTAGACAGCTATAAAGAACCAATCAAATGAGACCAAACAGGACTCAGATCCAGACATCTAATTGCTAAATTATGTGGTTCTGGCTGGTCAGGCTAATTCACTTATGAGCCCAGCCTGATACATACCAGCTGAATGGCAGTCATGTATTTCTTCCACCACAGAAACTTCTGGAAGCGGGGTCCAGCAGCAGCGAGCCCATAGTAGAAGTACATGACGACGTGCACTGAAGAGTTAACCATGGCGTGAAAAGACCCCATTCCACCTGCGTCAACAGAACAATGCCATAATATTAGACTAAAGTCCATTTTACAATTCAAACAATGAGCCATCAATAATAGTTAACGTTTTACAACACTCTAAATGGGAATCATTAATCGGACCAGGTTAATGAATACATACCAGGAGCATAGCCCACACCCCACCACCATGTCCAGGGCATGAAGGAGTGGTGGAAAATGTGCAGGAAAGTGATCTGACCCTGCTTTTTCCTCAACACAAAGAAGACCTGGAAAAGACAATTGGGAGGTTCTGAGACTTCACTTTTTAACTCACTGACTGTCAGCCGTTTTTGATGATTTCACTGAGTCTCAAGACCCACAGAATATTATTTCCTAAGACTATGTGAAATATGAAACCAGATTCTAAAAGACCGGATTGTCTACTTTCATCAGCAAAAATAAGTTTGTTTCTTGCGGTTTATATTGTCCTGTAATCCCCAGTCGAATAGAGGGTCTCAGACAAATATGTCAATGGGAGACAATGAGTTAAAATATGAAATACCGCTTTAAGTTTACTTACTGTATCCATGAGCTCGATAATCTTGGAAAACCAGAAAAGCCAAGCTACTGAAACCATCTGAAAGAGTGTTTGGATGTCAATTGAAGAACAGAAGAAAAATCACCATATATTTTATTTTACTTTTGAGATCTTACCCTTAATGCTTGAGGGCTGTCAGAGGTATCAATTGGGTCACATCTCCAAGTAAAAGTTGTAGCCCAACCAGACATCAGGAACTACGAAATGAGAGCTGTTAGCTTTAGATCAGAGTTTTGAACAGGAAGTAGATTTGATTATTATGATAAAACTGTATTTTGACATACACATTTTTAGTCTATAGTTTTGTTTATAGTAAGCGATTTTGTGAGCTTAGCTGTAGCACCAACTCGAAAACATTCCCCCCCTCCCCTCTCCTCTCCACCAAACCAAACATCCAGCATTTTATTTTCTTTGTCACAACAGGGAGAGTGGGTGGCAAATGTGAAATTAGCATTTTCTGTTCAGTCCTTTTAGGTTTTAGAAAATCCGATAACTCAGGTGGACTTGTGAGAAACAGGAAACAGGTTCGTTGGGGATGAACTAATCCTATTGGTGTATTTTTATCGGTCCACTCCAAAATAATTTTTTGTAATTTTTGGAGACTATAGGCATCTGGTCAATTCCATCCATCCATTTTCTTCCCCTTAATCCATTTATGGGCCAGGGGTGGGGTCAGAGCTGCACCCAGTACACAGAGCACCAGCCCCTCCCTGATCCTCCTGCAGGTGCTGAGTCCACAGGTGCTAAGATCTTTCAGTGGGGGCTTCAGGCAAAGTGGGGCTAAGTGTCTTGCCCAAGGACACAATGACAGCAGTCATCAGTGGGAGTCGTGAAGTAGGGCTCGAACCCACAAACTTCAGGCTCAAAGGCCAACGCTCTACCAACTGAGCCACTGTCGCCCCAACGTCAATTCCATTACTATTTGAAAACACATAACTTGACCACTTTTAGGGTTTCCCCACAATATATTTTAAAAAAAGTGTCTGAAAAAAAAAACACATAAAACTGACTGCATCTTTAAATGTAATTGAAGACTAGAGATAAAAAAATAGAAATTAATTAGTCATCTAACTTTTAATTATGCGTTGTGTTACGTGTAGAGCGTCACAACTGCTTTGAGAAAATGGTGTTGCCGGATCCTCACCTCATAAACTATATATATTGAAAGAGCTACAAGTACGAAGTTGTAGACAATCATGGCTTCTTTAAGTTGAAAGGGTTTGCGGTTGGCCATGATGCGAGGTCCCAGGTGCAGTACAAAGAACAAGTAGCAAAGCAGAATGCCCGACATGGGGACTGGGCTGGACATGAGGAAATATGGTTTAATCCGTGGATCTGTGGCAGGGACAGAAAAATAAGATTGCATTATATCTTGATCATGGCATCCAGTACCAAAGTATCAGTTTGACATTTCACCCACCCCAAACCTTTGTATTTTAATTTAATGTCAAAGAAATTATAGCAATAGATAAAATAATAATGTATCAATGAACCTCAGAGTAGTCAAGTAAAATAAACATCTTTAAAGCTGGAGTACCTAATATTTTTCTTTCACAAATACATTCTCCCAACTGAGTCCTGCGTAACATTTTGTGAACAAATCAGACCACATGCTTTTATTTTAAAGGACAACTTTATTCTTATTACGTCCACAGATGTGACAGAGGCCACAAATACATGGATGTGAGAACTAGTTACATGGATTTGAATACATTTTGTATTTTTTTGCAGTTTCAACATTAGATATTCCAGCTTTAAATGTATTACACATGAACAGATGATTTTGGGTTCACTTTTGGCATTCCAATCCAATACATGTAACAAGTCTTCAAAGTGAACATAACATGACATGTTCAGATCTGCCCACCTCTACTCTAACTAGGCCAAGCACTTACCGAAGCCGTCGACGAGGTGGTTGTAAAGATCCATGGCCTGTGAGCCCAGGTCCTGAATGCCTTGAAGCATGTTTCTAAGATTACCCAAAAAGCTGAAAGAAAAAAAACAAACAACTAACTGTGACTTAGGCGTCGACTACAAACCCTCGATGACTCCTTCCTGAAAATACGAAAAGCAGGTCATTCTCTTTTTGTATTTTCAGAAAGAGAGATACGCACATATATGGTCAAAATCCTGGTGTTGAATTCAGATCAAGCTCCTTGAAGTTGACTTTAGAATCATTAAGATTAAGAGATCCTTTTTTCGTCCAACAGTGGGACGAGAATGGAGTGTTGGCTCATCCCTCACCACACAAACACTCCCATAAAATCCCAGGATACTTTGGCAACTCTACAACCTCTCACCAGACATGGCCTGATTTCTGAAGGGAGGGGCCACAAGAAAAAGAGCATTCTTTTTGTAAAGCAGCACTTTGTGTGACAGCTGGAGGTCAGAACAATAGCCCATCACATTCTCTACACAAACCCAACTCAGAACAATGTCCACACAAACACTAAATTACATTGCAACATTTATTTTTCCCCATTAAAAACACAATCTTTAAGACAAAAGAGGAAAAAAGGGACAGTGTGCATACACCACTGGCTTTGTTGACAATGGCCTGCAGCGATATCATGTGTAAACATAAGAAATACATGCAGGGCGTGCCCCTTCGTGCACCAGAACAATTGTTTAAGGGCACATTCAATATCACTCAACTGTTACCTTAAGCCAATACCAAAGTCAAGGAGAAGTTTTCTCAAAGCAGATGTGACAACTACAAGACAAAACTTGTCTAATAACTATGAAACTTTTCTGCACAATTTCCACTCTGCTTTTGATACAACACGTGAAGAGTTACAAAGACACTGTGGGATCCAGTAATGCCCAATCTTTCTCCTTTGGACCAACTTGTCCAAACAGATTTCAACTATTGGATTTCTCATTGTTATTCATGTTGTTAAATGGAACAAGTTACATGACATTTCAGAAAACTCTTACATAAAAACCTGAGAATGTTATTGAACCGATGGAGTAGGTTTTGGTTCAACACATGCACCATCATTTCTGTGCTGAGTGCAAACATCAAGGTATCTTGTTCTGAGGAAAAATGCTGAATAGTTAGAGCTGCCGGATCGCCTTCCCGGCCAGGTCCATGGCTGATACCAGCAACAGGAGATCAAACCAGGTCATTAACATTGGAGGATGATGTGGCATGAGGATAAACAAATCTCATTACTCAAAGATCACATGAATAACCAAGACCAATAATACTCCATTCATAATTAGAGTAATGCAGAAACAACAACCAAGGTGTTCATGAAACAACTATTCACAATGAGCCATTACAACAACAGCAACTGTAGGCCATAGCTGCCCAGGGAGTTAATGTGGACATTCTCCATTTCCAATCAAAGTCTAAAATTGCTGCTGTGTAACGGAGTCATACGTTACAACTTCCACAAGTTAGAAAGTTCCCCATTACCGTAAAACAGAAGGAAACACTTTCTCCATCAACTCTGCACTTCTGTGTTGGAAATGCTGACAAGACACAAACTATAACACCACAGTGTAAGATGGGAGGGGGCGTTCCATATGAATCATGGAAAGGAAAAACTGTTACACAAAAAGAGCAACATTTGTCCCTTCGTCTGCCACAAACACCAACACCACCAGGAAAGTGTTTAAACCTTTTAAAAACACATGAGCCAAGGATCGCAGCTCATGCGGGTGCAAGAATTGCGTAACTTACCAGGCTCAGACAAGAATTTCTCACTTTAATCCTGGGCTGGGTGTGGTGTGGAAGCCCTCTGGAGTCAGGCAGGGGAAGAGAGCAGGGCAGGCAGGCCAGTCAGCAGGCGGATTGGAGCAGCATCAGGGACGCCAGGGAGAGAGATGGGACAGTCAGCGACAGAGTGTAATGAATGGCACACACACAGACAGATCTCCACCCGTTCTGGCTCATGAAACAGCAGCAGCGAGGCGGGGCAAGCACAAGCCAGGGCCAAGCAGGAGGAGACTGAGCAGCAAGGCCAGGGAAGGACAACCTTTTAAGGCACGCATGAGAATCCCACCCACACCCACTGAGCCTGCCCTGAAAACACTAGTGTATCAAAGCGTATCCCCCCACCCCCCATCCACCACCACCACAACAAAAACCCGACAATTACTAGAATCAGGAGCTGGTATGCTTCTGGTAATTTTCCAAAACACCACACACATACCAGTACTGATCGAACTTCATTATCACCCAGGTCTCATTTAGACAGCTGACCCACACAGTTCCCTTTGGTAGCCAAGTTAAAATGAAGGAAAATGTAAACATAGTTTAAGTTTCTAATGAAACTTAACTAAATTATTTTCATAGAAGTTATATACACATCGAGTGTGTATGTTTTACAGTGCAATAGAAGGAAATACATCCACAAATCAAAACAAATACATGTAAAAATAGTTTGATGGAAAAGTACCAGCGCTGAAGCTAAATAGATCCTCAAAGTCTGATCCTATTTCCAAATTCCTATTATGTAATCTCTAAACCTGTAAAAGATTTTTTTGAAGATTAATATTTTTTCAACTTGTGAAAATTACTGCCTAAAAACAGAATGTAAACTTTGGTACAAATGAAGTACCTATGATCACACAGTCTCCAAGCCGAGGTATCGGGATCGTATCGACAGTGCACAGTGAAAGTAGTGGGAAACACCTATAAGCAGTGCAGCTCTGCAGCTGTGTGCAGGGTAGCCTGGGGATATATTATTCAGGCCTTGAACTGGCCACAGTCAGAAGCAGCTTTGTTATCATGATAATCATGAAAGAGCCAATTGTCAGACTGGCCTGGTCCGGACCAACACCCGCAGACCAACCGGAGACATGTCTTTATCTCTTTATTAATATTTACTCCATGTTTGATGTCCGATAATGATTTCAGAGGCCAACCCATCAAAACAACAATAGACATCTACCTCATTGAATAGTGAAAAGAATGTCTTTCTTCCAACAATATATTAGGTTAGGTCCCAACAGAAAGAATTTATTTGGATGGAACTATCAAGTCTTGAAGTCATTTTGAGGTCAAAAAACCACACTATGTCGTCTTCACCTAAACAGGTTTTCTTTGGCATATGCCTGAGAAAGAGCCCTGTGTGTCACTATTTGATGCTTTGGGCTGAGAGCTGATTTGTTAAGAGTTATTCACTTTTCTGTCTGAAAAATCTGATAGATATTACTGAAAACAAATGTGAAAACTAGTGATAATGGATTTAAAACAAAGTTTTGTATTTGGTGGATTGAACATTGGGGACCCCAACTTTATAAAACATGCAAGTTCTTATAAATCAGTCAAACCAATACAGTAAGTGATATTGATGACCATGATCCTCAACAGCAGGTGTATTTGACATCAGAAGGGAAAAATAAGTGAATCTTTACCTCAAGCATGATATGTAATTGATTAAAAAAAAGGTATATAAATGTAGAAAGTTCTGTATTGTATTGTATAAAGGGAAGGGAGTTTAGAGTTTGCAGGTGGATCACTAAATATGTAATGAATACTGCTGCAGAAACTGGATCCGTGACAGTTTATTTGTTCTTTGCAGAAACCATGGAGAGAACAAAACTGCTGAACTTGGCTGTATGTGAAGGACACCGGAGCTCAGGTTAGTGTGCCATTGAAAAAGCCAGCAAACCGAGACTTACCGGACTAGTTTTGCTTGTCACTTTAGTGTGGGAAGGAAAGCCCCTCCCCAAAAAAACCAAAACAACAGCCAAGTAAATACATCATCATCCTCTGTAGTAGAAACTGATATATGTCATCCCAAATATGTTTGCAATCTGGCATGGCGACACCAACACCCTTCACACAGAAATGCCTACGTTTCTACTGTGATACGACAGGATTACAGTAGATTTCCATTACATGCAGACTATTAAGAAAGAACAGCAATTTCCATCCATCCATTTTCTACCCTTTAATCCATTTCTGGGTCAGGGGGGTGGCAGTCAGATACCACCCAAGTCTCATAGCACCAGCCCCTCACTGACCCTCTGCAGGTGGTGAGTCCACAGGAGGACGGCTGCTCTCTGAGTGTGAGCATAGCCTTGATCTTTCAGTGGGGGCTTTGGGCAAAGTGGGGTTAAGTGTCTTGCCCAAGGACACAACGAGAGCAGTCATCAGTGGGAGTCGGTGGAGAAGGTGCAGAGGTGGGAATTGAACCCACAACCTTCTGGCCTTAAGGCCAATGCTCTACCAACTGAGCTATTATTCAGCAATTTAAAATGTTAAATTACTGAATGACAAATCATATCACAAATATGCATCTCAATGTGGATGTCGGAGCAAGGAGTTAATCGGATATGTTGTTTTTATTGTAATACAAATTTTAGAGATTTCATGACACTTTGAAGCAACTGTGGTTAAAGTTCTAACTCATCATTCTAACAACATGCCAGTACTTTTCCACTGCATGTTTTGACTTCTGAAGGCCAAGCTACTGGCATCTCGGCGAAAGCTGATGGGGGACTCCATTCCTCGATGCTGTATATCATCTCTTGCAGTCTGTAACATGTTTGTTCGTGCTGTCTCTACCAACGACAATAAAACATGTCTTCTGTCTGAATTAAAAACACAATCCCAGACTTTGTCCATCTTCTTCAAAATTTCCAAATGTGATTTCATTCAAAAGTTCTAAAGACTTGCAAGTGATCGAGGAGAGGTGTAGTGCCAGAGAGTGTTTTGGCCTGTTTTGACCAAGTACGCTCTAGAACCAAATAGGCACCTGCTTAAAAACACCACCATTACTACGTGACAGGAGAGCAAAGTGAGTACGTCTAAAACAAACACTTTCCACAACATTTTTTAGGAGAAAGGGCGAATTAGTCATCGACTCTGGGAGGAAATACTTAGCTGCTCTCAGTCCAGTCGTCTTCAAAAACAGTGGAAAGAGATGGATTAGATGGATAGATTGTTAGATTCCACCGACAAGGCTATCTGTATGGAGTTTGCATGTTCTCCCTGTGTCTGCATTTCCTCCGGGTGCTTCGGTTTCCCCTCCCACTACGAGAGGTTGGGGGGCTTTGATGTAACTGTGTTCAACGTCTTGCCCCAGTTCTCACCGTGTGTGGAGAGAATGGAAAAATATCGGAACTTTGAAAATTGTAAGGTGCTCTGCGTGGGCTTTAAAATGCACTATGTAAATTAACCTTTCTTACACATCAGAGCAGAGTTAGTGTTACTGAGTATTGTTGGAAACACTTCCCAACATAATGGTGTGCAAAATGTTTGGTGCAGATAATCAAAAATAATCAGGAAACGTTTACACCAATTATGCACTCTGTAAAAGCGTTGATCTGTTGATTTATTTTATTTACCCACTGGTTTTAACAGAAGGGAGCACATCATCCCTGGGTTAGCGTCTCTCCACTGGCTCCCTGTGCGTTTTAGAATTGATTTTAAGATTTTACTGATTACTTTTAAAGCTCGTTTAGGTCTGGCACCAAGCTATATTTATGAACTTTTAACCCCCTACGAGCCCCCCCGCAGCCTTAGATCCTCGGGCAGGTCCCTGTTATGGAGCTATTATTGTTTCAATAATATTTGTGTGTGCGTAAAAAGATTTGTGCGTGCGTACCCAGATTTGTGTGTGCGTAACCAGATTTGTGCGTGCGTACCCAGATTTGTGTGTGCGTAACCAGATTTGTGTGTGCGTAACCAGATTTGTGTGTGTGTAAAAGAAATATTTGTGCGTGTGTAAATAGATTTGTATGTACGTATCAAAATTTGTGTGTGCGTAAAAAGATTTGTGTGTGCGTAAAAAGATTTGTGTGTGTGTAAAGAAAAAAAAAAGTACGTTTTACACACAAGTTTTTTTTTTACACACGAATCTTTTGACGCAGTCCTGCCTTCGCAGATTCGCAAGTGTAACTTGGACTGTGTGCGTGCGTAAACAGATTTGTGTGTGTGTAATTTGACATTTGTATCTGTAGCAGAACAATCTGTGTGTAAATAACCGCGTTGTACAAAGAGAAGAACGAAAAAAGCCTAAGTGCTACGCACAGGCTCTGTTTTACACACGAATCTCTTTTTGACACACCTCTGCCGCCAAGCGTGTGTCAAAAAGATTTGTAAGTGTAATGTGGTTGTTCTAGCAGTACACCAGCAGATGGTGCTGTTGTAGCTGGTTATTACCTACACGCAAGCAAACCAGCAGAGTTTGTGGCACTATAGTGTAGATAGAGAAAACCGAAGGATTTAAGAAGAAGAAAAGTTCAGGATGACAAGGAACACTAAAATTCCCACAAAATCCGACCTTTATGAAAGCTGTAGGTTATCTGTCAGCTGTTTTAGTTTACTTTGAGTTCTATGGGGAAAATTTCTGTGTAGCCAACGTGAATTTAGTCTGCAGTACGTGAGAATCCTTCAGCTCCAAGCTAGTAACACCCTATCCAGTTATTATAATAGATCCATGTATCATACAGTGGTGTGAATGACAAGATTTTGAAAATAGGAAATAAATATAAACAGCTGCGGTAGTGTGTCTTGTCAAGGCAGTAGGTGTTGGTTTGCTTGCGTGTAGGTAATAACCAGCTACAACAGCACCATCTGCTGGTGTACTGCTAGAACAACCACATTACACTTACAAATCTTTTTGACACACGCTTGGCGGCAGAGGTGTGTCAAAAAGAGATTCGTGTGTAAAACAGAGCCTGTGCGTAGCACTTAGGCTTTTTTCGTTCTTCTCTTTGTACAACGCGGTTATTTACACACAGATTGTTCTGCTACAGATACAAATGTCAAATTACACACACACAAATCTGTTTACGCACGCACACAGTCCAAGTTACACTTGCGAATCTGCGAAGGCAGGACTGCGTCAAAAGATTCGTGTGTAAAAAAAAAACTTGTGTGTAAAACGTACTTTTTTTTTTCTTTACACACACACAAATCTTTCTACGCACACACAAATCTTTTTACGCACACACAAATCTTTTTACGCACACACAAATCTTGATACGTACATACAAATCTATTTACACACGCACAAATATTTCTTTTACACACACACAAATCTGGTTACGCACACACAAATCTGGTTACGCACGCACAAATCTTTTTACGCACACACAAATATTATTGAAACAATAATAGCTCCATACCTGTTGACTGTTCCAAGGTCGAGGCTCCGGACAAAAGGTGACCGAGCCTTCTCTGTCCGGGCTCCTCGGCTTTGGAACAACCTGCCCGAGGAGATAAGGCTAGCACCATCAGTATCCTTTTTTAAAACACTTCTTAAACCCCACTTTTATCAAACAGCTTTTAACTGTTAGTTTTAAACTTCACATGCTGTATTTTAAAGTGGTAAAGTGTTCAAATCTTCCTCTAAATGGGCGTGAGTTGTCCTTTAATGTCTGCTTTGTCTTTGTTGTGTCTCTTTTGTGTTTTGCTCTGTTTGCTTTGTGTTTCTGTATCTAATTATTTTGACCTTGTATTTTGACTGTTTTTATTGTTTATCATGCTGACTGTGCAGCGCTTTGTAAATATTGTTTTTAAAAGTGCTATACAAATAAAGATTATTATTATTATTATTGTTATTACAATAACATGGCAAGTGTTGACTAAGATTGTGAACTTGATTCCAATACAGCGACTAAATACCACAGTGATGATCTGAGAAAATATTTGAAACTGCCAATGAGCAGCAATCTTGTCATGAATAACCAGACAAAAAATTAGTCATTTACGCAACAATTTTACTTTACTGTTGCGTAAAAAAACAAAAGACTCAAACACGGCTCACATAATCCAACATCATGTCCTGTTGTCAATTTATGAAAGTCTCAATACAAGTTTTAGAATCGACTAATCTGATTTACCGAACCTTAGACGACCCTAATTAACATAAGAACCATCTAACAGAGCAACAGAGCAGCAGCATCAGGCTAAACACACTCCTGTCAGACTTAAAGATGAAACCAATGATAAGCTGCAAGTGCTGCCTCAACGTAAACAAATACCTGTCATTTATCACAACACAATACACACAAACAAGAGAATTAGTCTTTATATGCCCATCAATCATAAAAATCTATGTAAAAACAAAACAACTGACTTTCTGAACATTAATTTAAACAAAACATTTTTCCCACAACATGAGATTCCCTACGGCCAAGTCCAAAAAAGGCAGCATACTATAAATCTAAGAAATCTGTCACAAAATAGATACATAAAATAAAATCCTCAATTGAACTGCACTTTAAAAAATATTAAGCCTTCTGTCCAGTCATATGTACTTAAGGTTATTTTGGCAAAAATTGTCTCAGGGGAAAAAAAATATTAGAAAAGTTGAAAAGTCACTGCATACTCCTAAATGCAGTGTAGAGTACTTTACACAAACATAACACCTCCAAAGTAAACATTAATTAGTCATCTTTAATCAGCTGCTTAAACTGCACAAACATGTCATCTTTTCACTAAGTCTAAGAAGAAAAAGCAAAATACATCATAACAATGTCTTTAGTGTTATGAATGGAGGACACGAGCGGCATGTTTAGGGAGGTTCTGCGTCACGCCTTTAAAACACACAACACAGGCTGTATGTCACTTAGTAACATAATCATTAACAGACAGGTCTTTAAAACAGTTTAAGAGCATCAGCACATTCAAAATAGTTTAAGACCCACGTTGGCCTTTGATATTGGAGCCTTTCAAAGTTATTCAAGTAAAAAAATATATTGTCAAAATCCCCTGTATGGTCATTATGGTGATATTAAACCATACAACATATATATTATTAAAAAAGGCAGATACAAGTTATATGGCGTCATCTAAGCTTTGAGGAAACCTTTCCCACTTAGTTTTCTTTATTACAAACTTATAAGGCCATAAGGAAGCACTCTAGAACTTCTCTATATACACATGTGCCGTCTCAAAGCTGGCATACAAAATGGTTGGAAAAATAACTCAAAAATACACCAAAAGCAACTATTTTTGCCAAAGAATTAGAATGACAAGCCTTGCTGATCCATGAGAAGCATATATGCATCTAAATCCAACCAACCTGTACACAATACAATACAATTTATTCTTGTATAGCCCTAGGTCACAACAGAAGTCATCTCAGAGGACTTAGCTGCTTAGCTGTACCTCACACCCTCTTCCAAACAGCTCCCCAAAGATTTAAAAGCATAAATAATCCATTGAATACTTATTATAATTCACGTGCACACATATTGGAAATGCATGCCATTTGAACGGTGGGTTTGCGTTTCAAAGTTAGGTACCCCAGCTTTTATTTCGCTATGGTTTAGGGTTAGACTATAGATTCCAGTGCAGCACCCAGTTTTGAAGGAAAATTGCGGACTTCCAGAGCTCAAACGTATGACAACTGCACTTTTACTTTTACACAGTGGAGGCAAATCACGTCCTCGAAGATATTTCTCTGAGAATGGAAACGAATAGACAAAGATCAACATTTCAGCTTGCTACAATAACAACAACAAAAGCTCACAACAGATGCAAACGAGCTGTCATCCAATGGCCCCATGGGTGTCACAGGGGCCCGCGGACACAGGTGCAAATGATGAGAAGTGCGGGTGGGTGGGGTGGGTGGGTTGGGGTGGGGTGGGGGGCTGTACTATCAAAACATTTTAATAAATTATACAAACTTCGATTCTTAACAACAAACATCACAACCATCGCAATTATGAATCCACCACGAACACAAGTACATTTAACCACACGGAAAGACGTTTACTTTTTGCCTTCACGCGTAATGACGTCTGCCACCATCGCATCACTGATTTCCTCCCAACACCAGGTTTTACAGTCCTCGATCCGCGAAGATGTTTCTGGACATATACTCACCGGGTATAACGGGAAAGCTGCCAAAAATGGACAGAGATGAAGAAGGCGTGTGTGGGGGAGCCGCGCCTGAACTTCCTTAAATGCGCACCGGTCCAGCCCTCTGATGGAGCCGAAGGTGGAGTCTGCGTGCGCGCAATACTTCCTCCTAATATGGACTTTTCACATGCGTTAGTTTACTAGCTACCCACTGTAATCAAACCAAATGTAAACGTATAATGCAAGTAAGTAGTAAGTAGGTAAGGTGTATTTATATAGCGCCTTTTACAGACCAAGGTCACCCAAAGCGCTTTTACAATGTTCAGAATGTTCAAGAATCAGGGAATTGAATTAAAGTACCACACTTTTGAACCACAAATTATAATCCATAAATTTTAAATCATTATAATCCATGTAACTGTCTCTAAACTGTTTGCTCATGTCACGTATCTTCAGATGTGTTCATGTTACGTGTTTCAAATCTCAAATATCAAAAGATGAATACGGTATGTTGTAGTCTGAATTATTCACAGCCTTTACCTTTACAAGACTTTCTGTAAGGGACATTGCAAGAATATACTTGAAAACAGTAAACAAAATGTAAACATATCAGGTAGAGAGCGCTCTGTGTGACATCAGCAGCGGGTCAGTGGCAGCAAGAAGCTTATTGGTGTTTTCAGTGGCAGCTATAAGGCAAGAGGCTCGCTGCTGACCTGAAGAGTCACAGAGTTTATTAAGTAGAAGTAGAAGTAAGGACAATCTAGTTGCGACTTAAGATGCCACTAAACCATAGCTACCACTCAAAAGGCCAGCGGCAGAAGTTGTAGCAGCTGATTGGTGCGGGGATGGGGGTCCGGGGAGTTCTTTCTTTTTCTTTTTTATCTAAAGATGATGAAGGAGTTATGCATGTGAAAACTAGTGATAACCAAAGTGTTTAAAGAGCTATAGATGTTCACACAAATGTATGTGTTTATCTTCCAAAGGAACTACCACAAAGAATGATCTCCATTTGAGATGCACATAACGTCCAAAAGAGTTCCGTCATTCTTGTTGTAAACTTGGATGACAACAACATGATCAGCAGAATAGATATGAAAGTGTTCAGCATTTAGACATGTGAAACAGATATGTTACACGGACTAATGCCAATATAAACTAGTATTGTTTTTGAACTTCTTGAAAACATGCCTCAAGGCAAGTTTGTTTGTGTGGAACAATCTATACAACAATGGTTTAAAAAAAAAAAAAAGAAAAACCCATAATCCTTCCGAACTTGGATTGAACATAGTGCAGTCTTCTGTTCCAAGTTTTAGCTGCATGACGCAATCTCTAACCACTACATTTGTCAGATGGGGCTGATGTTGTAATAGTGCCTTTTTGAAGCTTCACTATTTATGATTCTGGAAAATGCGTGCTCAGAGTCATGAGGCCGGTCAGGGCAGTAGCACAAGGTGCACTAGAAAAACAGTACATGTTTATGAGTAATCCATCTCACAAACTATTAACTTGAAAGTGCAGAGGTGATTCCTTCCCCTAAGGCTCATGCTGAAAACACTCTAAGCTCTGTGCTTCATGTCCGGTGTCACTCTAAGTTATGCAAAACAAGAGAGGACATTAGATTGTTCTGATGGATGGAGATGCAATACAATGATCATTTGGAAAGGTCAGTGAAAGTGACCTTGACCACAGCAGCACATACTCCCAGTGCAAAAGGCAAACGATTGGTGTGTGAGAAATGCATCAGAAAGAGGCCGTGCTTGTTGAACTTCTCCCAGTAATATCTCTGATGAGTAAAAACTAGAGCATAGGTTATTGAAAGGATCTGTCTGCTGTGGATGAGCAGTGGCTTCGTGTCATCATGGTGTGCAAGTGTGCATTCCACAATGAAACACTTTCATTACTACCATTATTATAGTTAAGTCAAGTTGTAAAGCTAATAATTAAAGATTATTAAAACGTTCGATGTGATGCTGGAGTTTGGTTTTCTGCACTTTCAGGGCCGCATGAGAAAAGATTTCATCTATAATTTACGGTTAGAAGGAGATAAGGAAACTTGCTGTTGAACATCTATCACAAAGAGCCGCAGTGACCCCAAGTGGAAATATATTATTATTGCAATATGCAACACTTGACTGATGCATTGTTTATTTGTATCTGTCCTTCAGTTGCACAAACAGGTGGATTTGAAGAGACAGAAAGTCACCTGATTTTAGGTCAGGATCAGGCCACTAGATACCACCAGACAATCCGACCATACATGTTATGGTGAAAGAAATTGAGCAGATCAGCCTCAAACGCCACAGAAAAGATCATTTCTCACATAACATAATAATATAATAATACATATTATAACACATATACCCAACAGTGCTTTTTATTCTTTCCATACACAGTGGTCGACTATCACAGCTTGCTGCCCTGGGGCAGACTAACAAAAGAGGGCCTGTCTTGCACCTGTATCAGTTTCGTACATCACAATGTGGGTGAAGTGTATTTACCCACATTGGGATGTACAAATAATGAACATAAGAAAAAGATATGTATTCATCTGCTTGTATGTGTATATTTGTATTTCTGTGGTTGAGTGAACATTCATCCCTGTTTTCTTCCAATAGATGACCCAATAAGAGCTCGGTTGGATGACCCTGGAAAACCTGCACTTATTGACTGAATTCTTGAAGTGACACAGTCATCAGGAACTTGAATACCCCTCTTGTTCCACTGAGCATGTTTAGCACTTTGCATGGTTCATGTTTCAGTTACTTGAAAGAACTTGAAAAACTGAATAAGTATAAGAAAACCAGACAAATTTTTGGGCTAAATATCATGAACTTCTGAGTAAGACACAATGTGTGCTTTACTCATGGCTGCTTTGTCAAGACTAAGGATCTAAATAATGTTATTGTGAGTTGGCTCAGCATGCAGGCAGAAGCTATGGTATTATTGTGTTTCTACTATCCTGATGGGCTGGCCTTCTCAGGACCTCGCCAGAGGGCTTGACTTATGAGAGGGAAATGGAAAAAGGAGTGTGTTGGGTTTTAAAGTCTCTTTGAATTCAAAGGTCTTATTTGAAAACACCCACAAGGAGGACACGGGCAGCAGCAGTCAGACAAAGTCAGGAAGTGACATCAGCCACAGGAAGAAAAGCCAAACAACTTCTTTCTCCCTTTGCTGTTGTTGCAGAAATCTGGGGACTGGTGGTGTAATAGCAGCTGTAGAAAAACTTGAAGAAAGCACTGCTGTTCCTCCTCTGATCTCAAAAGGTACACTGTAGCTTTCAAAGTGTTTTCTATCATTAACTTTCATTTTATTCTGTTCTAACGCCTTTAAGTCCACGTCTATGGGAAAAGTATCATGTGAAATATGTGCATGCAGAGATTACCAACTGTTCTACATGATCTGACATGCTTTCTTGGGAGACTTATCGGTATGCAGAGCAACTTTCCCACAAACTGCCTCCCTTCGAATAATCTCTGGAGGTATAGTTATGACTCTGACTTTGTGAGTGCAAAGTCATGTGAAACTAAAAGACTTTACTATGAGCTTATTTACAGCTTTTTCATGACCACGTCTCCATATCCTGACTTTATATACAGACAGCTGTACTCTCTTACTGCCTGTGCTTTTCAATAAAAACATCTACTAGAACATGCTCATAGTGACCATTCACCATACGTGTCCTTTAAACGGGATTTACGTGAGGATGCAGTGTCATGTTGCAATCCCTGCAGCATGAATGTGACTATGAGCTATATCTGAATCACCACAACAGGCGTTAGTCCACAGTATTGTTGCACATGGCTGAATTGAGTGAACTGGTGCCAGCACTGTAGTATTCCATATACTAAACACTGCCAATCTCACTATGATACAATCTTTCACATGACCTTTGCCCCAGCATGCCACCAATAAAATACTTTATCAGTTTAGGAAATGAAAGAAAAAAGAATCATCATTTATCAAGTCACTCAAAGCAATTACAATACAATTATATCACAGAGGTAGGCTCACAGGAAATATTTGGAAAGAACATTTAACTATTATGTGTTATTCATGTTATTACAAGCAAAAAGGAAGCAACATTTAATCTATTATAATGAATCACTGCACAGAATACAGCATTGGCATTTGACACGACACCATAGAAATATTTCACTATGCCATGATGTCACAGTTCTATATTTGTCACAGAATTTTTCATGACTAATGTTCAGAAACACTTGACTTATGCTGCGTGATTCTACCCAACAGAGAGGCTAAGCCCAAACTAAACAAGACAAGCCCTGAGCTGACTGTGTGGCCACCTCAGCATAAAGTATTGTCTACCAAGAAAACAATTGAAGCCTGTCCTCCCGTTATCACAGAGGAAACCACAGAGTTGATGGCTTTGTGTCTGGGGCAAGTTTTCAGCAAAGATAAAACATTCAGGCCAAAGAAAAGATTTGAACCGGGAACACAAAAGTTTGAACTGTATAAGAAAGCTCAGGCTTCGCTGAAATCTGGCTTGGACTTGAGGAAAGTGGTCCAGCTGCCAGAGGGCGAGAGCATCAATGACTGGATCGCGGTACATGTGGTGGACTTCTTCAACAGAATCAACCTGATCTATGGGACCATGTCTGAGTTCTGCACTGAAAGAAGTTGCCCCATCATGTCCGGGGGGCTGCGCTACGAGTACAGGTGGCAGGATGGGGAGGACTACAAGAGGCCCACCAAACTCCCTGCTCTGAGGTACATGAACCTGCTCATGGACTGGATTGAATCAAACATAAACAACGAGGATATCTTCCCCACCAGAGTAGGTATGTGAGAGTGTTTCATGCAGAGAATGCTGTGGTAGAAGTAGGCTGGTCGTACCATACCATTGGACTCAATTTATTTCCTGTAGGGAAATGATAATTGATCAAAGTTTATGAATGGCTAAGGCCAGGCTATGGTAGAAGAGGCAGACGGCTCACATTTATGAGGAGCTGGGATCGTGGAGTTCAGAGGGAGGTTAATTAAACAATATCGGGTTGACATTTAGAGTTGAAATAGCTTTGCTTCTCTGTGGTCATTGGACTATCAAAATGTTCTCTTAATGAGTTTTATGGTTTAGCTATTACTGCACCACAGCCTTTTGAATAAACATTTAGTTGAAATAATGCAGAGGCTTTCCCTTTTTTTCATTATGATGTGAGTATATTTTATTGCAGTATTCTTGTTTCAATGTGAAAGTATAATAAAATTATATTTGCAATACGCAATTAATTATGTTAAATTGGAGACATATTTAATTTAATAGAAAATATTCCAACACTGATAATTTTTGTAATTATCAGGACAATATCGGATCTGTCTATTGACTGATATTGTAGTGCAATACCTTATATATAAGCACTCAAATGATCTATTTTCAGAATGTTTACACTTACTTATTTTTACACTACACTGTATTTGACTCTAATGGATCTATACAAGAAAGTGGGTTTTCAAATTTACAAACAACGAACTCAAAACACTATAAAAAAGAAATACATATTGATTGAAATTACAATTTATCTTTTTTTCAGGTGTCCCATTTCCTAAGAATTTCATGCAGGTGTGTAAGAAGATCCTGAGTCGTCTTTTCCGCGTTTTTGTCCATGTTTACATCCACCACTTTGACAGCATCTGCAACATGGGAGCAGAGGCCCACATCAACACATGTTACAAACACTACTACTACTTCATCACGGAATTCCACCTTATTGACAACTCAGAACTGGAGCCTCTGGTAAGATTAGAAGAACCACATGTATATGGTATATATCTCCTGATGATTCCTGCAGGGTATCTGATCACTGGCAGGACATAGCTGTTGATTGCACAGGCCTTATTCTTGCCGGCCTTATTGAGTTGGCTTCTCAGGACCTGTCCGTGGTATACCGAGATACTTGTAGCTGTCCTCAACGTCTGCTGTTGTTCCCTCTGGGAGTAAAATCCCTTCTTTGTGGACTACATCGCATCTCTTTGTTAACATACTGCTACATTTCTTGAGTCCGAATGACTTTCCAGAGTCATGGCTGTAGATCCTGATGGAATGGATCAGAGAGGCTATGTCCGTTTCGCTCTTGGCGTACAGCTTGATGTCATCCATTCCTGAGGCGTATCCAAAGCCAGTATTGTAGATTATCTGGCTTAGAGGGTTCGGGCCTATGCAGAACATTGGTGGGGACAGAGCATCTCCTTGGTAGATGCCACATTTGATGGTCACTTGTGCGAGCAGCTTGCCAAATGCCTCAAAGGTGGTCTTCCACATTTGTATTGATATAGCAACAAAGTCCCTTAGAGCCCTGTTGATATTGTACTGCTTCAAGCATTCCATGATCCATGAGTGTGGCATTGAGTCGTAGGCTTTCTAGTAATCAATCAAGGCTGTGCACAGGTTGGTGTGTCGTGACCAGCAGTCTTGGGTGAATGTTCTGTCAACCAGGAGCTGGTGTTTGGCTCCTCTGGTGTTTCTACCAATGCCCATCTATGCTGTGCTCATGAATTGTTCCATGAGCCCAATATCCAGCACCCTAGTCCAGACTACAGGGATGTGCGGCCTTATGTGAAACCCACTATCTTAGCCGCAATTAGAAAGATAGCTTATTGATCCCCCGCAGGAGAAATTCAGGACCTATTGTCATATGCCTGACGGACCCTTCACAGGAAGGACCCTGTGAAGATCGGGACCGTTCGCCCTTCGGTTAGCCATTCCGGGTGAGTCCCATCTCTCAGCAGCTGGTTCATTTGTGCTGCTAGGCGCTCATGGAGTGATGTGAGTGTCCTTAGCCAGTAGGCATCCACCATATCAGGGCCATACCTGACACTCTTTCTCGGACGTCTGCCTCTGTGATGGTAGCTGGGTTCTGTTCTGGGTGGTAGCTGTGCTCCTCTCTCAGAGACACCAGACATTGTGCACTGCTGTTATGTGCTGCTTCCTTCTCCCATATGCTTTTCCAGAACCTTTGAGTTTCTAGCCTATATACAGTGCCTCTCAAAAGTATGCAGCTTGAACCTTTGAACATTTTCTAAAGTTTACAACCATAAACAATAATTTTTACTGAGAGTTTATACACAGACAGTAACAGTAGAATGATACATGAGTGTGTTAATGTTTTAAAGACAGAAAAAGTGGACCTGCAACTGTATTCATACAGGTTTTTTCAGAGTGCCATCAATTTAAATATTCATTAAACCATTCCTAATGACTGCTGAATCTTCACACTTTACCCTAATGATTAAATATTAAATCCTGTGTGTAATCTCCAAATGCAGCCGTTCTGTGAGGGCCTCAGAGCTATGGTCAGAGTGTATTGGTCTCGAAACAGCCTCTGGAGGTCAGTATTAAAGTTGTGGAGAAATTTCAAGCAGCGTGAAGTCTGACCAAGAGATCCCACAATTGTTGTATTTTTCTTTGTTCAGTTTTCATGCAGTTCGAGTGAGTTCTAGTTTGGAAGTTGCTAGCCTAACTGTTACTAGCCTAACTGTTACTAGCCTAAATGTTGCTAGCCTATAACTGTTACTAGCCTAAATGTTGCTAGCCTAACTGTTACTAGCCTAAATGTTGCTAGCCTATAACTGTTACTAGCCTAAATGTTACTAGCCTAACTGTTACTAGCCTAAATGTTGCTAGCCTAACTGTTACTAGCCTAAATGTTGCTAGCCTAACTGTTACTAGCCTAAATGTTGCTAGCCTATAACTGTTACTAGCCTAAATGTTACTAGCCTAACTGTTACTAGCCTAAATGTTGCTAGCCTATAACTGTTACTAACCTAAATGTTGCTAGCCTAACTGTTACTAGCCTAAATATTGCTAGCCTAACTGTTACTAGCCTAAATGTTGCTAGCCTAACTGTTACTAGCCTAAATGTTGCTAGCCTAACTGTTACTAGCCTAAATGTTGCTAGCCTAACTGTTACTAGCCTAAATGTTGCTAGCCTATAACTGTTACTAGCCTAAATGTTGCTAGCCTAACTGTTACTAGCCTAAATGTTGCTAGCCTAACTGTTACTAACCTAAATGTTACTAGCCTAACTGTTACTAGCCTAAATGTTGCTAGCCTAACTGTTACTAGCCTAAATGTTGCTAGCCTATAACTGTTACTAACCTAAATGTTGCTAGCCTAACTGTTACTAGCCTAAATATTGCTAGCCTAACTGTTACTAGCCTAAATGCTGCTAGCCTAACTGTTACTAGCCTAAATGTTGCTAGCCTATAACTGTTACTAACCTAGATGTTGCTAGCCTAACTGTTACTAGCCTAAATGTTGCTAGCCTATAACTGTTACTAACCTAAATGTTGCTAGCCTATAACTGTTACTAGCCTAAATGTTGCTAGCCTAACTGTCCATCCATTTCCATCCATCCATTTTCTTCCGCTTTATCCGTTGCCGGGTCGCGGGGGCAGCAGTCTAAGCAGAGACGCCCAGACTTCCCTATCCACACACACTTCCTCCAGCTCGTCCGGGGGGACCCCAAGGCGTTCCCAGGCCAGCAGAGAGACATAGTCTCTCCAGCGGGACCTGGGTCTTCCCCGGGGCCTCCTCCCGGTGGGACGTGCCCGGAACACCTCCCCAGGGAGGCGTCCAGGAGGCGTCCGGAACAGATGCCCGAGCCACCTCAACTGGTTCCTCTCGACGTGGAGAAGCAGCGGTTCTACTCCGAGCTCCTCCCGTGTGACTGAGCTCCTCACCCTATCTCTAAGGGAGCGCCCAGCCACTCTGCGGAGGAAGCTCATTTCGACCGCTTGTATCCGCGATCTCGTTCTTTCGGTCATTACCCACAGCTCATGACCATAGGTGAGGGAGGGAACGAAGATTGACCGGTAAATCGAGAGCTTTGCCTTTCGGCTCAGCTCCCTCTTCACCACAACGGTCCGATACAGCGACCGCATCACTGCGCACGCTGCACCGATCCGCCTGTCAATCTCACGCTCCATTCTTCCCTCACTCGTGAACAAGACCCCGAGATACTTGAACTCCTCCACTTGAGGAAGGACCTCTCCACCCACCTGTAGAGGGCAAGGCACCTTTTTCCGGTCGAGCACCATGGCCTCGGATTTGGAGGTGCTGATTCTCATCCCAGCCGCTTCACACTCGGCTGCAAACCGTCCCAGTGCATGCTGCAGGTCCTGGTTCGTTGGAGCCAACAGGACAACATCGTCCGCAAACAGCAGAGATGAAATCCTGTGGTCTCCGAACCGGACCCCCTCCGACCCCTGGCTGCGCCTAGATATTCTGTCCATAAATACAGTGAACAGAACCGGTGACAAAGGGCAGCCCTGGCGGAGGCCAACATGCACCGGGAACAGGTCTGACTTACTGCCGGCAATGCGAACACAGCTCTGGCTCCGGTCATACAGGGACCGAACGGCCTTCAGCAGAGGACCCCGGACCCCGTACTCCCGGAGAACCCCCCAAAGGACACCCCGGGGAACACAGTCGAACGCCTTCTCCAAATCCACAAAGCACATGTGGACAGGTTGGGCGAACTCCCATGAACCCTCGAGTATCCGATGGAGAGTATAGAGCTGGTCCAGTGTTCCGCGACCTGGACGAAAACCACACTGCTCCTCCTGGATCCGAGATTCGACCATCGGCCGTAACCTCCTCTCCAGTACCTTGGAGTAGACCTTACAGAGGAGGCTGAGGAGTGTGATCCCACGATAATTGGAACACACCCTCCGGTCCCCCTTCTTGTAGAGAGGGACCACCACCCCGGTCTGCCACTCCATTGGCACTGCCCCCGATCGCCACGCGATGTTGCAGAGACGTGTCAGCCAAGACAGTCCTACAACATCCAGAGACTTTAGATAATCAGGGCGGATCTCATCCACACCCGGAGCCTTGCCACCATGGAGGCTGCCAACCACCTTGGTGACCTCAGCCAGGGAGATGGATGTACCCGCCCCAACATCCTCAGCCTCTGCCTCTGTAACAGAGGACGTGACGGGGGGATTGAGGAGGCTAGCCTAACTGTTACTAGCCTAAATGTTGCTAGCCTATAACTGTTACTAACCTAAATGTTACTAGCCTAACTGTTACTAACCTAAATGTTACTAGCCTAAATGTTGCTAGCCTATAACTGTTACTAACCTAAATGTTGCTAGCCTATAACTGTTACTAGCCTAAATGTTGCTAGCCTATAACTGTTACTAACCTAAATGTTGCTAGCCTAACTGTTACTAACCTAAATGTTGCTAGCCTATAACTGTTACTAGCCTAAATGTTGCTAGCCTAACTGTTACTAGCCTAAATGTTGCTAGCCTAACTGTTACTAGCCTAAATGTTGCTAGCCTAACTGTTACTAGCCTAAATGTTGCTAGCCTAACTGTTACTAGCCTAAATGTTGCTAGCCTAACTGTTACTAACCTAAATGTTGCTAGCCTAACTGTTACTAGCCTAAATGTTGCTAGCCTATAACTGTTACTAACCTAAATGTTGCTAGCCTATAACTGTTACTAGCCTAAATGTTGCTAGCCTAACTGTTACTAGCCTAAATGTTGCTAGCCTATAACTGTTACTAGCCTAAATGTTGCTAGCCTAACTGTTACTAGCCTAAATGTTGCTAGCCTATAACTGTTACTAACCTAAATGTTGCTAGCCTATAACTGTTACTAGCCTAAATGTTGCTAGCCTAACTGTTACTAGCCTAAATGTTGCTAGCCTATAACTGTTACTAACCTAAATGTTGCTAGCCTAACTGTTACTAGCCTAAATGTTGCTAGCCTATAACTGTTACTAGCCTAAATGTTGCTAGCCTATAACTGTTACTAACCTAAATGTTGCTAGCCTATAACTGTTACTAACCTAAATGTTGCTAGCCTATAACTGTTACTAGCCTAAATGTTGCTAGCCTAACTGTTACTAGCCTAAATGTTGCTAGCCTATAACTGTTACTAACCTAAATGTTGCTAGCCTATAACTGTTACTAACCTAAATGTTGCTAGCCTATAACTGTTACTAGCCTAAATGTTGCTAGCCTAACTGTTACTAGCCTAAATGTTGCTAGCCTATAACTGTTACTAACCTAAATGTTGCTAGCCTATAACTGTTACTAGCCTAAATGTTGCTAGCCTAACTGTTACTAGCCTAAATGTTGCTAGCCTATAACTGTTACTAACCTAAATGTTGCTAGCCTATAACTGTTACTAACCTAAATGTTGCTAGCCTATAACTGTTACTAGCCTAAATGTTGCTAGCCTAACTGTTACTAGCCTAAATGTTGCTAGCCTATAACTGTTACTAACCTAAATGTTGCTAGCCTATAACTGTTACTAACCTAAATGTTGCTAGCCTATAACTGTTACTAGCCTAAATGTTGCTAGCCTAACTGTTACTAGCCTAAATGTTGCTAGCCTATAACTGTTACTAGCCTAAATGTTGCTAGCCTAACTGTTACTAGCCTAAATGTTGCTAGCCTAACTGTTACTAGCCTAAATGTTGCTAGCCTATAACTGTTACTAACCTAAATGTTACTAGCCTAACTGTTACTAACCTAAATGTTGCTAGCCTAACTGTTACTAGCCTAAATGTTGCTAGCCTATAACTGTTACTAACCTAAATGTTGCTAGCCTATAACTGTTACTAGCCTAAATGTTGCTAGCCTAACTGTTACTAGCCTAAATGTTGCTAGCCTATAACTGTTACTAGCCTAAATGTTGCTAGCCTAACTGTTACTAGCCTAAATGTTGCTAGCCTATAACTGTTACTAACCTAAATGTTGCTAGCCTAACTGTTACTAGCCTAAATGTTGCTAGCCTATAACTGTTACTAGCCTAAATGTTGCTAGCCTATAACTGTTACTAACCTAAATGTTGCTAGCCTATAACTGTTACTAGCCTAAATGTTTGCTAGCCTAACTGTTACTAGCCTAAATGTTGCTAGCCTATAACTGTTACTAACCTAAATGTTGCTAGCCTAACTGTTACTAGCCTAAATGTTGCTAGCCTATAACTGTTACTAGCCTAAATGTTGCTAGCCTATAACTGTTACTAACCTAAATGTTGCTAGCCTATAACTGTTACTAACCTAAATGTTGCTAGCCTATAACTGTTACTAACCTAAATGTTGCTAGCCTATAACTGTTACTAACCTAAATGTTGCTAGCCTATAACTGTTACTAACCTAAATGTTGCTAGCCTAACTGTTACTAGCCTAAATGTTGCTAGCCTAACTGTTACTAACCTAAATGTTGCTAGCCTAACTGTTACTAGCCTAAATGTTACTAGCCTAACTGTTACTAGCCTAAATGTTGCTAGCCTAACTGTTACTAGCCTAGTAGTGTCGGGGTCCGCTTCGCCTTGTCGGTACTTATTTTCCGATAATGACCTGCGTAATATACATTATCCCTTACATATGTGTGTGTGTGTGTGTGTGTGTGTGTGTGTGTGTGTGTGTGTGTGTGTGTGTGTATTCATACCCATGACATGCTGCAAAAGGGGGTTCCACAAAGTAATTTTTCTTTCATGTTTTTGTTTGTGCTCTGCAGAAGGAGATGACAGACAAGATTTGCCATTAAAAAGATCTATGGACAAGTGACCATTCACAGTATCTGAGCCTCAAGAGACATGTTTTCATTGCATCTACTCTTGTCTTTATTATCACATTGCTCACATATTCGATATGAACAATGCTGTTTGGAACCTATTTTCTATTTTGCATGATATTTCAATTTTGAGTTACAACTGTGATTTTGTGAATATTTTACGAATTTGTTTGGATTGTATTAAAAATGCCTTTATCATTTGTATTATTTGCTTGTGTTAAGATTAAAAGATCCTTTATGTGTGTTATGTTGCTGCATGATTAGTGTCCAAAAAAGCGCTATATAAAACCGATGCATTATTATTATTATGTTGTGTGTTGTTATGAAGTCTTGGAAAATGTTTTTTTGCAATAACAATGTCAGTCAACCATAACCAAAGCTTACAATAGCAATGTCAGTCATAACCATAACCAAAGTCACTCACAAATAACATCAGCGTCATGGTTAGAGGCCCTACACCTGCCCTCAAACAGTGAAGTAAATAGAATCTTATATATGGGTCAGATCCGAGAATTCTGCATCCAATATATTTCTAGGCTCTGTATAACAGATCCGTCTTTGGACCATAGACTGGACAAACCCAAAAATGATCTTGAGAAACCCCCTAACGTGGAGTGGGCGTAACATATCATGACAGCATCAGGGGCTGACCAATAGGGGTAGAGAAAGCTGCGTGGGCGGGGCATTCTTTGTTTACGTCTTTCCCGCGCGTGCGTCACTGCTGCTTTGATGATGATGGATCCCAGCTAGTAATGGACGCCTACCTCAGCCGTGAAGTGCTCTCCAACTCTCAGGATTGGGCCGAACTGGGCTAGTCCAGGTAAAAACGTGTATTATTCAATGTATTCATGAGTTTGATGTGAAAACGTGTTGTGGTTTAGTAGATTGAAGGGAAATCCAGAGGGTGACGATGCTAACGTGTTAGCTAAACCTAACACAAAATTCATTCACTTTCAAATTAATACGTCGATTCGTGCTTAAAGCATTGGCTATAAGGAACATACTATATCCATTTGTTCAGTCTAAATCAAAAACGGAAGATAATTATCTTATTCAGTTGCAGGGAAACTGGATGTGTTGACAAGACCTGTTTTGACATGATTGTGTGGTATGTCAGCTGCAGGTATGGTGAGGCACGGCAACATGACGGAATTACAATCCTTCCAGGTCCCACACAAGGTAGGACGTTTGAATTATCTTTATGTAAGTAAATGATTTGGCAATTGTCCCTCCTGCCTAAGCACTCTTTGGCGTTATCAATCCTTTTGACCTGCTGTGGCCTCTGTGACAGGAAAGCTCCTCGGCTCTGAGCCAAACTGGGCAGAGCTTTGGGGTATCTCAGGAAAGTGGGCTGACTCCAGAGCATGTTCAACAACTCTCTGACGGCCATACAGGTACTTAAGCAAAGAACAGCCATATGACATTTCTTTGTATGTCATGTTTTAATCTGGAGCTCTTCATTCACTGTAGAATGTGAAACAAGCCAATCGGTAAGTATATCAGATGCTGTTAAAAGAAAAAAGAAGAAAAGAACCAGAGCCACGGACAGCTTCACTGGCACTTTTGATGGTAATTGTTTATATTTGTATTAGCCACACTGTCCTTGCTAGTGTAGCAGTAAAAGATTTGTTTCCTTATGACAGATCTCTACAAACTAACTGAGGAAGTGCTGGGTCAGGGTGCTTATGCAAAGGTACAAGGTTGCATCAGCCTGCAGAATGGAATGGAGTATGCTGTGAAGGTGAGATCTAGCTGACTTCAGTATAAGAATTGTTCCCCAATACTTTCAGGTAGCGTATTATATGGACCTGCAAAATATCACATGAAATGTATTTGCAGATTGTAGAGAAGTGTGCTGGGCACAGCCGCAGCAGAGTCTTTCGAGAAGTGGAGACACTTCATCAGTGCCAAGGAAACAAGTGAGTGCAGTTGGTGATGTACATGTAGTCATTAATAACAATGAACAGATGATGATTGAGTGAATGTTTTGAAACAGGAATATTTTGGAGTTGATCCAGTTCTTTGAAGACAGTAACTGCTTTTATTTAGTATTTGAGAAGCTGCGTGGAGGTACAATTATATCAACATTTAATATCTCAGTAATATATCTGTAACTTATATTCTTTATCTCTTTCTTAGGTTCTATTCTTACTCACATTCAGAACCGAAAGTACTTTGACGAATTAGAGGCCAGTAAAGTAGTTAGAGATATTGCCCAAGCTCTTGACTTTCTTCACACAAAAGGTCTATACAGAGAAATAAAATAATGGTGCCATTTATTCTGGTCTGTTTTTAAACCTCTTTCTCTATAGGCATTGCTCATAGGGACCTCAAATTGGAGAATATCCTTTGTGAATACACAGATCAGGTTGGTTTTTTGCTGTAGTTTGTACAAAACCGAACAATATGTAACTTTCTTCACACTGACAGTAATGAGAACACAGGTCTCGGGATGTTCTAACCCGCTCCGAGTCCAACTTCTATGTCATAAGTTTTAAAAAAAACATATTCAGGGACAAGCCTCAAATATGCAAAACACACAGAACCCACACAGAACCCCCACAAAACAATCGACAGAATACTTCACCAGCGTGAGTGAATGTTCTGTTTTCTTACCGTGGTAATGCGGATGCAGCGCCTGCTGAAAGCTAATAATCGCACTTCTGCTGCGGCTGTGTCCAAGGCAATGTCCTGCTTCTTGGATCATTGTGGTTTTAAGCTCCCACAGATTTCCCATTTTCCCATTCTCTTCTCACAGCGTTTGTAAAACTATATATTATAATAGATCAATGGTAAAACACCTCTGTGCAGCGTGTGCCACTTCACAACGCAGAGTTTTTTTACATATTCACCTCTGCGCGTAGTTTAGTTCAAATGTGGCAACATTCAGGTGCCAAAAACCTTAATATTTTTGATGAACCGTAATCATAATATTGACATACTGACTTAAAAGACCCCTGTATCACTCAACTCATGTCTTCATGAATTGTGCACAGGTATCTCCAGTGAAGATTTGTGACTTTGACCTTGGAAGTGGAGTGAAACTCAGCAGTGCCTGTACTCCTATAACTACACCAGAGTTGACGACCCCAGTGAGTACTTTGAAAGCAACAATCTGTTGCTCATTTGCAGTATTTGAACATGATCACTCTCATCATGTACCTTTGTGGTATCCTAGTGTGGCTCTGCAGAGTACATGGCTCCAGAGGTAGTGGAGGTGTTCACGGATGAAGCCTCTTTTTATGATAAACGCTGTGACTTGTGGAGTCTTGGTGTCATCCTCTATATTCTCCTGAGTGGAAGTCCTCCATTCACTGGCCATTGTGGCAGTGACTGCGGTTGGGACCGCGGTGAGACCTGCAGAACATGTCAGGTGTGTTTTTAAAGCCATAGCACTTAGGGTCTCTTATGGTCTAATTATCTGCATAACCATTATTATATATTCTGTCCTTTTAGAACAACCTGTTTGAGAGCATTCAGCAGGGGAAGTATGAATTTCCAGATAAGGACTGGAACCACATTACAGAAGGGGCGAAAGATCTCATATCCAAACTGCTGGTACGCGATGCAACTCTTCGGCTTAGTGCAGCTCAGGTCCTCATGCACCCTTGGGTGCAAGGGGTAAGTATGATCACTCACACAACAGTCTGATCAGTGACATTGTTGTATTAAAGCTCCGACTAAATTTCTGCAGAATGCTCCTGAGAGAGGTCTTCCTACTCCTCATGTGTTACAAAGGTAAGACATGTCTTATTTATTATCTTAAGTTATTTAATGATGTCTGTGTTCAACAGGCTGACCGTTGTGAGACAGGTTAGTTTTACCCTACTGATGATGTGTTGTTGCAATAGTAATTCTGCGACAGTAGCTCAGTTGGTAGAGCATTGGCCTTTAGGCCAGAAGGTTGTGGGTTCAATTCCCACCTCTGCACCTTCTCCACCGACTCCCACTGATGACTGCTGTCGTTGTGTCCTTGGGCAAGACACTTAACCCCACTTTGCCCAAAGCCCCCACTGAAAGATCAAGGCTATGCTCACACTCAGAGAGCAGCCGTCCTCCTGTGGACTCACCACCTGCAGAGGGTCAGTGAGGGGCTGGTGCATCTCTGATTGCCACCCCCTGACCCAGAAATGGATTAAAGGGTAGAAAATGGATGGATGGATTTAATGATGTCTGCGTTCAACAGGCTTTCTCTTTCTCTTGTTTTAGGAACAGCAGCACCAAAGACCTGAGCCAGTTTGCTGCAGAAGCTATCGCCTTTAACAGGCAGCTGTCTCAACACGATGAGCAGCAAGAAGATGAGGTAGCCATCATGTGCTCCATGAGGCTGTCTCCTCCCTCCAACTCGAGACTCGCCCGCAGGCGGGCCCAGTCCAGTGCCCTGCGCACACAGGACTTTGCACCTTCTGCAGATGACCTTGGAGGTTAACTGCTTCTCCAGATCCCTGTCCAGCTTTATGTGAATGTGTGTATGCTTTGGAGCCTGTAGTATTGTGTCATTAGTGGGTAACTGTTTCCAGTGCTTAAGCTTTGTTCCACGACCTGTAATCTCCTCCGAGATGAGAGTAACGGCGACAAGGGAACACTTAATCTTTGGCCATCACCTCGTCATCATTTTAAAGCGTTTGTTCTGATTTATAACATTACTTTTTATGAGGGTCATATTAACGGTTTTTATATAGTATTTTTCCATTTATTTTATTTTGTTAACTTCCAAAGCAGTGAGTCATGACGTCTCACCAGTGATTTGATAATTTATTATGAACATGATGGGTTGCTGAGACATGTTGCTGAAATATATTTACTTTTACTGGCTGCACTTTAGTACTTAAACATGGGTATTCTATTGATTGAAAAACAATGTGAATTTAATATTAAACATTTATCTGGGAATGTGTTTTACCTCAAAAATAGTGTTTGTACATGTACTACTGTGCAAGTAAGCCTTCTTGTCTAAGTGTTTGTTTGACCTTTTGTTTTTAAGTCGTTGTGGGAAATGAATGGGCTGTTACTAGTTTTTTTCTGAACAAACGTTATAATGAGAAACATTTGAGTGTATTTGATTTTACTTCTTTCCAGGCACCGTGCTCTTATTAACACGTCCCCTGATTTCACATAGTTGCCATGGACACCTAATCTCTATAGCGACAAAGGGCTTTGGGTGGCCTGTGGGATGCGTGAATGAACATCATAAACAAACACTGTTATGTTTAATTCTGAATTTGATATGTGTTTCTTTATGTTTTGATTGTAAGGGCACAACGATGCAAAAACTGGTAAAAAATGAGGAAGGTCTGCATCTGTTTGATAAAGCTCCCAGTCTATGCATACATCTGAGTACGTACTAGCATATCTTCACTGGTGTGCTATGTTCATAACAATAAAATACATTAATAACAAATCTAAACATTGCTTCATTTATTTATATACTTTAATGGAAATGTCACAATTGGTGTCCATCATATTATATAATTCCTTTTTCTGCACTACTGCTGCTTTATCATGGCCAATAGGGTGGAAGTCTGTAGAGTGCCCCCCAGTGGCTCGTGAGAGTACTGACCTGATGAGACTGGCAGCTGCAGTTACTCTGCTGCTGATCAAGAGATGAGCAGCAACTTGGGCTCAACATGACCAACATACATCTAACAGCTGCAACAATACTCACGTTGGAAGTAAACTTGATTTTTAAAGGATGTGTGATTGAAGATTTGAAGATTGCAAACTGAGGTGTAGGTGATGTAGTCATTTTACATCTATTTTGTAAATATTCTGTTGAGTAAGATTGTGAAACATGTGAAGCTGGTGTGTGTTGATTTATGTGTCGTTTTAATTTGACGTGTGATTTCTTCTATTTCGGCTTAAGGGATTTCTTTTCACTCTGCATGGGTTCTACTGAGCTGTGTTTAAGTCATGGTTCCTCCAGATAAAAGCTCCAAACAAGCACCAAGGCAGTCTTCCAAGTGGAGACAGAGCCTGCCCTCCCCGGCCCTGTGCTGTGCGTGTGGTCTGTGCATCCTGTTGGCCGGCATTAACATCACTCTGGTGGGGGCCTTTGCCTATGGAACCTTCATGCCTTCCGGAAACCCGCTCATCATCATCGGACCCCTTCTGTTACTCACTGCCCTGGGCTTCTTCACCGGCTGCTGTGTGGTCAGCAGGCGGCCCCCAGCCCACACCACCGGCAGAGCTAAAGGGGGGGAGAAGTGGGGACTGATGCGCCTCGGGACCGTGACCTTTGAGATGGAGACTAGTGAGCACACTCTACAGGACACTACAGCAGTCCAGCTCAGTCCAACCAACTCTCCAGCATCTTCTCACAAATCCAACTCCAGCCAAGGGGCCAGTAATGTCCCCTTGCCCTGTGCGGGATCTAACTGAAAGCCTGTGTGGACCTCCAGGAATAGTGTGGAATAACTAATATTTTTTAAGTTCTTGTCATTAAGTCTTTGTGCAATACTGCATTTCAGAATGTCCACTGAATGTCGCTCAATCTACTTCTTATCCTGCCCCATACATAGATAGATTGAGATATGTAGATATATTGATATTGAAGCATTTACAGCTAGTTAAGAAACATAGCAGCCTCTAAATGTGTATATTTTGTGTGCTCCCTGTGTGCTCTTACTACTGTCCTATGTGTGCGCTGCAACATTACAATTTCCTCACTGCAGGACAAATCTCTTATCTTATCTCATCTTTATAACTAAATGTACAGAACCTAAACAGTGTATTGAATCTCATTGAAAACTAACACAGTTTATGGGTAAAAGGTTCTGCTACATGGAGATAGGTGAGTCTTATCTGAGCCTCAGCAGCCACTCCAATGCAAACATGCTCATCCTACATGTTTCCCATACGACTTAGGCCAGACCACTGTGTGCACTAGGGTTTAATCCCGGGACACGGGATTCCCCGGGAAATCTGATCAAAACTATTTCCCGATTCCCGGGAAATGTTATGACGGGAAACGGGAAATAAAAAAATAAAAAATCCAGAGCGCCCCTATTATAGAGCACGTTTATTGTTGTTCAAAGTTCAAACATATTTCATTTACAATCAACATGTCTACAGCTGAGAGGATGGCTCATAAATTGTGTTTTTGAAACAAATATGGGTCTTAATCGCGCTAAACCACGACTTGTAATGAGGCCAGCCTCGGGGTACGGGGCACATGTGAGCCCAGAATTCGGCTACATTCAATTCTATCAGAATTACACACTAACACTGTGCACTGTATGGACACACACAGAGACTACAGCCTCTCTCTGTGCCTGGGATCTCATGAATGTTTCTCTCAAGACAAGATCCATATTAGAGAATGGGTAATGTGTGCTAAATGAAATTGGCATGTCTTGGCAACCTGAGCTAATTTAAAAAAAAACTAGTCACTGGGTCATGGTGCTCTTGGGCAACATGAGCTGAAATTAAACTCGACTAAAGAGACGTTACCTAAGCAGATGGAATGTTTTGCGTTTTTTTGTCTTTGCAAATTGTCACTGTGTCAATAGCATGATTGTTATGTGATGAAAATGAATATTTAAAATTCAATTATCTCATTAAAAGCTTTGTCATGTGTGGACTAATAGTAATGTTTGTGTTCCCTCTGAGCTTTGGGTGTGTGCGACAGTTGAAAGAAGATAGTATTTCAGTAATGGTGCAATTCTCTCTTTGCCTCAAAATTACAGGTGCAATAATAATAATAAAAAAATCACAGATTCGTTGATAGAGCAGCTAAAGCAGAATAAACTGCTCCTTTAGAGGCAATTTGACTTGATTAGGATTCTGAATATGTTATACTTTTGATTTGGTTGCTTCAGGACACTAGTATAATGTTTTAATTCCCATTTCAATCACTTTCATACAACCACAATCCGCACAGTCTCAAAGTCTTTATGCCTAAGCAAAAACATCGTTCCATGTTGGAAGGTTGATAGTTGATATTAATTTACAGATATTTACAGATATAAAATTGGAAGAGTATGTAAAGAAAAGACTGGAAATATTGATTTACTCTGTGTTTTTGATAATATTACAATAATGCAGTCATGATTGCATTTTGGGAGTTATAATTGACAACAAATTGTTCTGGAAACACTGAGTTAAAAACATAAGAACCAGAATTGCAGGTTCTTGTGCGGATCATTCACAAGGTTGGTTTTCTGGAGCATATCCACGATTTCTTTATTCAATCAAAGTTATTAAAATTGTGAAATATTATACAGCTATAATCCTATATTATTTAACAAGCTTTTAACAATATATTATGCAAACTTACAAAGGTGTTTTACAGTTAAAGCTACAGCAGATGCACTGAGAGGATATGGAGATTTCACACAACCATTACTAATTCAAACTACTCAAAAGGTTTCTGTGATTCTGAAGGTGGTGGAAAAGTTTGGAAAAACGTGCATTCAGCAGAAGAAATGACAAAATATTCACACATTTAAAGTGTTATATAAACAAATGGTCACAATATATTGAGGAAGAGTCTTGAAATGATATGAGTGGTGTCTGTTAAGTGTGTATGTTTATTTATCTTACCATTGTTGGTATATTGTGTATTATTGTTATTGGTATATAACATTTATATATTGTGTATTGTGCATTTCCATTGTTGGTATTGTCCCATTTGTCTCACCATCACTGATATTGTTTTTTTCTTTGATATTTATTGCGGTTACAACATACTTATCTGTTACTATGGAAACATGCCATGCTTTTCCTTAGTTTTTATGTATTAATCCTTGCTCTCTGGGTATTTATTCTTTATTTTTTATTATCTCTCTCTGACTGTTGCACTGAGCCAAAGCAATTTCCAAGTCTGTGACTTCCTGTTATATATGCGGCAATAAAAATTATTCTGATTCGGATTATTTTTCCTCAAATGTTTTGTTTGCAGAAGCAGAGAAGCTAACGAGTAAATGAAAAATGAGGTGGGATTCAATAAGTTTCTTCTTCCCACTCCCTTTCAGACAAAATTGTTTAGATTTTATTTTGTCATAGGTGTTTTTTTAATGCTAATATCAACTGTGTTGCTATTCATTCATTCATTCATTCATTCATTCATTCATGAATGAATGAATGAATGAATGAATGAATGAATGAATGAATGAATGAATGAATGAATGATCCATCATTCTGCTGCTATTGTAAAATGAATAAATACAAATTAAACTAAAATTAACATTATTTTACTTAATGAATAACTTTATCAGACAGGACTACTCCAGAAAATACATTAAATACTGAATAAACTATATCCAAACATAACGTTAGGCCAATCAATTCCAGTACTGTACATGAACACTAGATGGCAGTCTTTATCTATGTATTGAAGTTGCCGCTGCAAACAGTTTCTATATTTGGTTTGCAAATGTATTTTATCAAACTTCTAAACCTGTAGAGTGTTGTTTTATTTAATTAATTTGTTTTCGTTTTACATTTATCTTGGTAAAAACGCCTTTTCATTCATTCCTTCTCAGTTTAGTTCAAACCATACATTTTATAATATATGATTCTAATGTTTTGTAGAACACTTTGAGATGACTTCTGTAGAAAACAAACAAACACTTGCAATGATCTAATATTGTCTCCTGCTGATGTGTCATCTACAACTGAAAGTTAATTCATCAATTTACAGTAAATGCCCCAATACAATATGGTTCACGTGTGGACTTTTCTGAAATGCTCAAGGGGATAAGCAGCATGATTCATGTTTTCAATTACTAAAACAGCTGTTTTAGTAATTGATTAATGGTTAACTGCTCAATAGTTTAGATTAAAGTTTACAAAGTAAAAAAACTATTGAACACACACAATCTGATTGTGTGACTAAAAGTGTGAAATACAATGTATACACTAAGTTTACTGCACCGGGAATACCTTTTCTGGGCAACTACAAATCTCAAATTCAAACAATCAAAGTCAATCAGGCAATTATTTAGAAAAAATACCTCGATACTCAAAAGTTAATTGATCCTTCTTGGACAAAAAGCTGTTGCTGTACTTTTATTGCACGAGAAGTTCTGTTCAGAGGTCATGTTTTCAAGGTTTCTTTGTATGTATTTCTTTTGGCATTATAATAACAACATTTGGGAAACCTCTGAAATGGGAAAAGGAACAAGTGAGAACTTAGAACGTGATGTGGATCCAGGATTCTGCAGAAGGGATAGAACTGGAAAACTGGTCTGTGCTCTATTCTGTGCTTTTCTACTTTTTTATTGTTAATTGCTAAAATCTATTTTCTCATGCAGCTAATTGTTGATACTTTAGACAACCCTTTCCAAAAAAGGTGTCTACTTAATCACAAGAAGATGTGATTTTTGAATGTAGTAAATCCAGGTCCTTCCCGGGGCTGAGTGCGCTGCCTTGTCCCATGTCCCATTAGCAGGAGCTGTCCTTGTGCAGTGATCCTCCAGCGGCCTCAGACCACCGGGTCAGCTCCATCCTCAGCCCGAAAAAGACATTTCCCAAAGGACGCTCAGAGCACAGCAGATATCCAGCAGATAGAACAATAGCAAGGTTAGCATGTCTTTGACCTCTGTTTGAACACAAATACTACATTTGTTCTTTACTGCTGCATACAATGTCCACAAGGAAGTATTTTATAAAGTAGCAACATAAATCACTGTATGTGTTTACACATGTGTATTAAACCTTAGGACACAATCGTTTTCTTACATTTATTTATAGTAATATAATGACAAGACATTTTTATTACATGATATCCTTTGATCTATTACTGTCATTGATATTAGTAATCCTCCATTTCTTCAAGATTCAAGAATTAATTTGCCATTTGCAGTAAAACCACATTGGAAAAACTGTGCAAGACTACCCCAGTGTGCACCAGGATTGCACACACCAGAGTTCTTGCCTCTAATGACATTCCAAGTAATTTATTCAAAAATATTTTGAAAACAAGAAATATTCCAAGAAGTGTTGGAAATGGGAATCACATTTGCATAAAAGCAACATGGATAATATTTATAAAAATAAATAAATAAAAAAATGTATATATATATATATATATATATATATATATATATATTATACAGTATGTATAATGTATTATATCTGTATTATATTGTCAAATATGTTATATTTGCTACATACGGATCATAATTTGAATATTATGGCTATATATTTGTATTTATTCGTAATTGTTCATGTCTCAATCATTTACATATCCAAACCTCCATACTTGCACAGTGCAAAAGAGAGTAGGATCTGGAGAAAAGATTCTTAAAGTGTTCTTTTTTGGATAGCTGTATATAATGTGCAATAAGCACAGTCGGAGGAGCGTTTAGATTCCAAGCTCCCATTCTGTGGAATCAGCTCCCCATCAGGCTAAAGGAGGCGGACACAGTCTCTACATT